GGCGACGGCTGTTCTGAAGCAACTGGGAAAAGGTGGCGTAAATGCAAGTTTCGTTGACGCTGCAGCATATCGAGACGGCAAAAAGATCGCAGCGGTTGTCGTGGACAAGATGGGCTCGACTACGAACTGCGCCACGGTACGCACCACGAACCCCCAGGTGGCCGAACAAGTGGCCATCGCACTCGCTCTGCTAAATGATCAGTGCGAAGAGGTGTACAGCGACTCCAAAGCCGCAGTCAGAGCCTTTCAAAAGGGCCGCATATCAACACAGGCAGCTCCACCAGCGATCTTGAGCAGCTCCACCAGCGATACGATTGTCCCTCACACCATACATTGGTTCCCTGCGCATGTCGGCTCCGTAAACGGCGTTGCACTGAACCCGAACGAGTCGGCCCACTCAGCAGCACGCGCGCTCACTGACCGCGCTGCTCTCGAACTGGGCGACGGCTCCAGTGCCGACGATGTGGGACATAAAACACACCTACTACACACAACGAGATTACGAAGTATTACGACATGGCGAGGCGGGCATTGCCAATGACACATTCAAAACTCAATAGAGCACAGGCACTCTCGTTACGCTTACTTCAAACGCATTCGTACCCGTCGTTAGCATACCTAAACGCAATTTATCCTCACAAATTCCCCGATGCCGCCTGCGCCGCTTGCGGGCAGACCGCTACATTAGCACACATGCTCTGGGAGTGCGGGTCGCTTGGATCGACTTATAACAAACCCGAGTGGGATGCGCTTCTGCACAGCCCAGAACTTGAGGACCAAATCCTGGCCTTCCAGTGTGCCCGCGACAGGGCCGTCAGGCTAGACCTGCTGGTCCCCACGTGGGAGTGGCCGGGTGACGCGTGGCAACCTCAGCGTCTGCACTGGACCATAATTAAGTTGTTCACACTCACTCACTGTACCATAAGTACGAAAATTAGACAAGTGTGTGTACTACCCATCATTCCCACGCTCGCTGAAGCGCCGTGCGTTGCAGCTCCCATAGACACTAGCGCCAGAGTTCCCTCTAGTGTACATTAGAAAACTCTATGGTGTGGGGAGCCCGAGACAAACAGAAGCTGCCTGAAGATCGCAAAATCGAACGCTGATTGATTGATTAAACCTTTATTTTGGTCCTGAGAAGACGCAGGGGAGATCCCGCGCCACCCGGCTAATCCCACGAAGGGACCGTCAAGCCGAGCTTGGCGGCCCGTTCATGGGCACTCTGGACGGTACAGCCAGCGTAAACGTAAACAAACTCTACCGTCATGGCAGCAAACGAAACAATGCGCCGCGTGTATGTTTTTTTTTCTGCATTTTCCGCTTGGAAATACGTAGCTAAGCTTGCCAAAAAGCTGTAATAATATACTCGAGCGTACGCATTTGGGGTACGACTTCGTGCGCTCGCACGAACACTCGCCGCGTCCGCGAACGAAACAGCCAGCTGGCGCACGCTGCCCCGAGAAAAAATGCAAGGTGAGCTGCCGCGACGCTGACGGCTTAACGAGCTCACGTCTCTTTAGTACATGTAACAGTCACTGCACAACACGACGAGAAGTCACGCGGAAGTGATCGTGTCCCCAAAAGAGCTCGAGGATATATACCCGCTCAGCTATCGCGTGTTATACGTCGCAAACTCACGTTTACCAACTTCACCGAGTTTCGCTTCAAGCCGTTCTTCCGACGCCCGTTTCAACCGGGTCGACGCCGTGCGCACCGCTGCTGCTTCGCATCCCATCAAGGTTCCTTTCGGGGAGGCCATTTTTTTTTTTTCATGTCATGACCAGCGAGTCGCATCCGTCAACTGGTTTACCCCATTTTCAGGATGTGATCATGAGAGCACACAGACGTAGATGGATAGATAGATAGATAGATAGATAGATAGATAGATAGATAGATAGATAGATAGATAGATAGATAGATAGATAGATAGATAGATAGATGCTCAAAGTGGGAACAGTATACGCAGAGAAATGTAAAGAACACAAAAAATTATTAAATCAACCAGTCTGGAAACATGCATTTACAATTTGCAACGGCAAAATATCCTCACGCACGCGCTATACCGTGCACAGAAAAAGCCCATGGCGTTTTTTTTTCTTGGCTTGACTGCAGGTAAATATATTCGCGCTACACAGCCTTAAGTGACCACTTTTATATAGCCCTAGAACAGTCATGTCCTATTATATAAATAAACATAAACTCGCCGAAGGTCCAACGACTTCTTAATCGGCGAGTGACCGCAAATCTGTAATAATGAAGGCAAAACGAAATCTACAACTCGACACATTTAATTTACGACCAATAAACCTTGTATATAACCGTACACCGCTTTGATGCTTATTTACAAATGCGTGAGTGGGCAATGTCACGCCCACTCATCATCATTCACTTCATGGAGATGCGGTGATTTCTTCATTTGCTGAAAACCAGACTGTCGCCAAATGAAGCCGCGCCGCGACATAAACAAAAAAAAAAATCGCAGCATATCCATGGACTGGATGATTATACGAGTGAAGCGAAGCGTCGCCTGTCCGTCCGTCCATCTAGTGAACACTCAAGTACCGCCATCTCGCATCTTTTCATCATATATTCATCAATCATCATATAGAAGTACCGCCATCCAGCAGACATTCCAAGGACTAATGGAGAGTTGGCTACATACTACTACGTCTACTACTATACATACACCGTGGACCCACAACATGAACAACTTCACCCCTGAAAAAAAAAAAAAAAAATCCGCGATAGGTTTCGTAAGGAGGCACCAAGTCCCCTTGCCTCTGCTGAAAAGGAGGCTCTAGTCCACCCTGCGGCCAGAGCCCTTGCGTTTAAAGGTAAAGATACCTGTTAGATTGTGAATTTGAAGGGCTCATTTTTCTTTGTTAGACGTCATGCAATATTAATGACAGCTAGCAGAGTAATTAATGCCAAGGAAAGTAAATGATATGTAATTGTAAACATAATGCAAATGCGAAGAAAGAAAAGTGGACGGAAAGGTAATTTGCTGCGGGCAGGATTGCCGCAGGAACCGAACCTACGACCGTCGAATAACGCGTCCGATCCCATGCTAACTGAGCTACCGCGGCAGCCATGCCCCCGTCCACTTCGTTAGTCGTCATGATTGCAAGTGTGGAACACAGTTTTTCTGCCTGTTGGCGTTACGTAGATCGTGGTTTCCGTCGGTGGGTGCTGCCTATAAGCAATAGCGGGGTGTCCTCCTTCACCCTTGTTATTCATGACGTACCTACTAGGATTAGAGGCCAAATTAGAGGGAAGTGGACTTGGCTTAAACCTCTCTTCCGTCAAACAACGAAAACTCATTGACCAGGCACTACCAGCATTAATGTACACAGATGATATAGCGCTAATGACCGACAACAAGGAAGATTTGCAGAGATTGATGGACATCTACGGTAGTGAGGGAGACAGGTTAGATTTCAGATTCAGTAAGGAAAAATCACCAGTCATAATTTTTAATGATAATGAAGGTTGGAGCTTAAGATACAGGAAGTCACGCTAGAGATAAGAGATAAATACAAATATCTGGGAGTATCGATAAGCAATGGGACCGAGTACTTAAGGGAACAAGAAATATACGTAACGACTAAAAGTAACAGGAATGCAACAGTGATGAAAAATTGGGCCCTGTCTGTGGAATTACAATAGGTATGATGTTGTGAGAGGAATGCGGAAAGGGGTCATGGTTCCTGGGCTGACGTTCGGCAATGTGGCCTTGTGCATGAGATAAGAAGTTCAAGCAAGATTATAAATTAAGCAACGTGGAATAGGTAGGCTTGCTTTAGGAGCTCACAGGAATGCACCAAATCGGGGAGTACAAGGTGCTATGGGATGGGCATAATTTGAGGGCAGGGAAGCTTGCAGCAAGATAAAATTTGAGAAGCGATTGAGAGAAATGGGGGAGGAGCGTTGGGCTAGGAAGGTTTTCAGCTACTTGTACATGAAGAATGTCGATACAAAATGGAGCAAGCGAACCAGGAAATTGACTGGTAAATACTTAGAATACAGCAGGTGGCCAAACCAAAAAGAACTATCGGTTAAGAAGAAAGTGAAGCAAATGGAGACTGACATGTGGATAGTTGGCATGATTAAGAAGTCCGCACTAGAGATCTATCGAACTTTTAAGCAGGAAATTGCCAAGGAAAGGATCTATGATAATACTCGGGGTAGTTCCCTACTGTTTGAGGCCAGGACGGGAGTCATGCGAACCAATACATATCGGGACAATACGAAGGTAGACACGGTATGCAGTGCATGTGGAGAGGAGGAGAATACTACCGAACACTTGATAATGTTCTGTAAAGGGCTTCACCCTATAGTTCAGGATGATAGCGCAGAGTTTTTCAAAGCACTGGGGTTTAGGGACAGGGAGGCCAAAATGGACTTTAAGCGGGTAGAGTTAACTAGAAGAAGGTTATGTGATTGGTGGCTAAAGTCAAGGCACGTTTGAAAATTAAACTCTTCACTGCAAAGTACCAGTCTTCAATTTCACTATTTATAGGAACAAAAAAGATAAATCTAGTGGTTAGTTCACTAAGTATTACGGCTAGATGGCGGTAGCCGCCGCCCGATCTAAAGGGTACAGCCACATCCATCCATTTATCGGTGATGAGAGTGTTTACGGCACTCAAACTGGTAGGTGTTCTGTTGGCACTCCTTGGTTTACGGACGCCGCCGTGTTACGACAGAACACCTTGTTACCTCGAGCTTCGCAAAGGAAACGCTCTTTCTGTGGGAAACCTTGTGAAAACGACAAAGAACCACCAACCCTTTACAAAGAGGACGTTCATAATATCCATATACTAAAAGGTATACACTATACCAAGGGGGTATGTTGTGGGCGTGCTTCAGAGGCGACCGTACACGCCTGTGGCGCTTGTGGTGTGCGCGCTGATTTACAAAATTCGCGCGCTGCGAGCGCGCGTAAAACCGCCTCTTTCTGTCGTAGAGCCGAGACGGATCGCTGGCCGGAGAGGCGACTTGTCGCATATCATGTGCGGCCAATCCGCGAAGTCCGGCTGCGCTAACCGGCCGGCCGGCCTTGTTCGAGGTTTCTCTTTACTTTTGACCCGAGGGCATCTTCTTTTTTATCTGCAATGATTCTGAGACGTGTAGTTTCTCAGTCTGCAGTGCGCCTTGAAGCTGTGTGGCCGACACGTTGGCTCTCGAAAATGGTAAGCTTCACTGCAAGGAAAATCCTAGTCAGGTTTGATTATTCCATTGTAATTTTTGTAGCGTGCAAATTTAACCAAGGTGCGTGCTTTATGAGCAGCAAAAGATGCACGATGTTAGTAGGAAAAGTCGATCAACAAGTGGTTGGGCCTCGCTCCGCAAGCGCCATTCAGGCGATGCCTACCCGGCGTGTACGCACCGTGTAGATTTGTGGTAACCGAACGGATTAATTATCGGGTTTACTTTCGATATCACCGTTGAACACACAAAGATAGCAGAGCTCTGCGGTAAAAGGAAAGGCTAATTTAGGTACCTAAGCGTGCGTCTGGTATTTTTACTGCCGACTTTTATTGCCTTCGGGGGTCAATTAGCCCCTGATGCAACTTGAGACGACAGCAGGAGATGTGACGCTTGCGCATCGTGACGGCGCGAAAGATAAAACAATGACCGTTAGAGACGGGACATGTAGCATCCGCACAGTATGATTTGCAGTACTTTCCTTTTCCTATGTTCGACTGTGCGCGCAAAAAGCAGACTTAGTCGATGAATCCCGTTTCATTGGAAAAATAAACGGTGGCTGCAATTCGTAGTTTTACGCTTCAGTTATGCGAAATGAATGTGTTTTTTGCGCCTTGATCTTTTTTAAAAGTGTGCTCGTATCGGGAAAACGGACTAAAGAGCTACAGTGTATTATGTTTGCCCTCTAGTTTATCTGACAGCGAAGCAGGCTCTGCGGATTTGAAACCAGTAGGCCTGATAGCCAGTGATAGTACCATTAGCACAGCGTATCTCGCTGTTCCTATGTGGGTTAGCGAGCAGCTCTCGAGGCCACAACGAATACACCCTTCGTGAAAGACAGGCTCTATCCTGTGATATGTTCGCGGGCAGAGATATGTCGGAAGTGATGTCGGAAGATATGTCGGAAAGGTATGTCAGAAAGTCGAAAAGTGATTCCGTGAGCTCTGTTGAGCCTAGCATTAGGAAAGGGAAAATACCTGTGACTGAGCTTGTAGCTGGACGTAATCTTATAAAACGTTGTCTAAGGATCCTTCCTGAGGTCAATGTTCCCCCTAGACGCTTCACCAGAACATTTCCTCCTACTTTGCAAGTATAAGTGAGGTGTGACACTATTGCATCGTGTTCTACAAAAATTATTTCAATATATTCAGCCCTGCCCGATCCCTGACGGGACAGAGCGAATGTTTTTTAATAGCCTCGTGCCATGTAAAAGTCGCAGTAGTAGCATTGCTAAAGTGCCTTTTCTGCCAATGGATCTCCTGTAATTGGGCTGTTACTTCTTAAAAGCTGTGTGCTTGAAGGTTCGAAACATTTTCAGAGCACATTTATTATCTCGGTAATGTAGAAGCTTCATAATGGCGAGTTCAATTCAGTGCATTCGATTATGCTGCTCTCGCACTTGCATAGTATGATTGAGCTTTGTTACTGCATTGCCTGAAATCTTGGTAGAGAACAACAAGCGTTGGAACTCCACAGCCACTTAAGAGAGGGGATTATTAATCTCTCATGTTGATATATGTACACACATACATTAAAATACACACATGAACTAACATATAGTATGGTTGTACACCACCCACTGAAACAATTTTCTGGCTGCACCACTGTCTACAGATGTTGAATACAAACAGCTAAAAGAGAATGGCAAAAAAACAAATGGATGATGATCGTTGGCTGTTATTTTCTGCCCCTTGCAATCTTCCAAGGCGTCTAAGAGGGCAAAGCTTACCGACGAGGAGAGGAAGACCAGCCTGGAGCCCCTGTTCACTGCTGGATGGACGCAGGTCAAGGACCGTGATGCAATATACAAGGAATTCCTATTTAAAAATTTCAACCAGGTAAGCCATGGGTTTTGCAACACACGGCTGACACAAAATTACTGCGTTGGTGCACAGTTGTAGTACAGATAGCTCTATTGAATCTCTTTTTGTCTAGCAGAACATATGTACTGGTCATTGCTTATTGTAAGCAGTAACTCCTGACATTCATCTTACCATGGATTATCCTGTCACTAGACTGGGAATGCTCTGTACAGGGGCTGTAAGTATTAAAATATGATGCCTGAATTGCCGTTGAGGGAACAAAGCAAATTTGTTCAGGTGTTATTGCGGATAAATTGTTGGCAAAATAGTTACGCCTCTCACTCTCTAGAGGCACCATGGCGCTCATACGCCTTACTGCATAACATGATACACAATCTGACTGATACTCAAAATGGCGTGTCATCTTTTTCAGTCGTTTGGCTTCATGACACGCATAGCGATGCAAGCTGAAAAAATGGATCACCACCCCGAGTGGTTCAATGTCTACAACAAGGTTCAGATCACCCTCAGCACCCACGATGTCGGTGGACTCTCTAGCAATGACGTTAAGCTTGCCAACTTCATCGAAGCAGCTGCCAAAAGTGTAACTGCTTAGGTCTTGCCAAGGATCTCGCAAATTTCGTGTAGTGAAATCGCTATGCATGAAAGAACAATTGCCTGTTTTCACAATTTTTCTCTCAATAAAGTGGCAACATACTCGTGATGAAATGTTCTCATTCGCATGAATACTTGTGCATTTGCATGTTATGCATCAAAAGTTAATAAACTAGAATATCTGAATTTATAGACTAACACCAAGCACTGTGTGACCATGGCTAGTAGAACATGGTTTCATTTGTGCACATACTAGTACAGACTACAAATCTAAATACTACTAGGCCATAGAAATGAGCATTCAACCTTTTCTGAAACCTTGCTGAACGTTCTCATGGGACCAATTGCATGTGAGTAAGCATTAAAGCATTACACAGCGTACTGTTCTCCCTAAATGTGTAGATTACACAGGTGAAGTTCTGTAACATAATGTAGTTTGCTTATAAAAGGAAGATGCCTTTTTCTGTGCAATGAACTTTAATTTTAGGAATTAACTTTGAGGGTCGCGGCACCTGAAACTTTGCATGCTGTTCTAGCGCTGTGTAAAATGTCATGATCCAAAGTTATCATGATGGACCGACACATACTCTTCTCATCCTCTGCTTTATTCCCAGAACAACTGTGCATATTTGTATGGCATATAGCAAGCGGGGAAGCAAAAGCTGAAGTAGAAATGTGAAGGTTAGGAGGAGAGCAAAGAAAAGAACATCTTTGTGAAAAAGAATTTCTCAAGAGTTGGCTAGATTTGAACCAGCATACCCATGATCGATCCAAAGCCAAGCATCCTAAACACTCCACTATCCAGCATGCTGACAGAACATAGCACAGCCTTGTACATACAGTCTTGTGTAGCAAGGGAAGTGAAGATAAGAAGGAGGGAAGGGTATAGCATAGCATATAATGAAAGAAAGAAGTGCAGAAAGAATGAATCAAAGAAAAAGATAAAGAAAGGAAGCAAGTGTGAAATAGTTGCAGAATGAGAGAAAGTGAATTAAAGAAATTGAGAAAAAAAATGGAGGAGCAAGCGAGAAATAGAGAGAGAGAGAAGAAAAAAGGCATTTTTTTCTTACACTTTTACTTACACCGCATCAGCTGCAATGCCAAAATGAAATTACTTCGTTTTAATTTGCTCCAAAGGTCACTTCCCCTAGCAACCACTGAGGCATACCTAAATATCTTTTACAATGGATGCTAAGCCGAAAGTGTGCAACACATGTTCACTATTCATTTGGCTATCTGGGCAAATAGTACATACATTGCATGTGCATGCCTTGCTGGTACCTTCGACTTTTTCACCCCACAAAAGCCCATGATTGGATTAGAACCAATGGAAGTCTTCACAGGGTGCATAAAATATGAAAATGGCATGCTTTTCCCCTCCCCCAATTGCCCTCCTCCTTTTAAACTCGTTATATCGCTTCTTCTTTGCCCTCCTAAATTTTCCTGACCTGTCTTGCATTCACTATGGAAGGCATCCATAATTAGGAAGCCTTGTTACGCATAACTGGGAAGACAAATATGACTGGTAATTCCCTTAGCATGCTAACCGAGGCAAAACTTCACACTGGTCAGATTGGTTTAGCACTAGACCATGTACTTTTAAATATTGACGCATTAATATGTATTAGAAGTGTAAAAGCATGAGAACTGTTGTTTATCTATATAAAAAAATGCTTCTTACACTGCAAAATTTCATTACAGTAGGCAGAACCATAAGTCAAACTCACTCATAGGTCTGTTTAGAGACATACAATATCGATTAGAGACCTACAAGATGAGACGTAGGAGATTGATTCGCAAATCTGAATTTGAGCATGTGTGAGGAATATCTTGGCAAGTTTGAGTCTGAGCAAGTCCGCCTGAGCAAAATTGTAGCATGTCCGAGTGAGGGAAAATTCTGGCGAGTCAGAGTTAACCCTTGGGGCAAAATAGATTTAATGAGTCTCAGTAAGCTTCACATTTTTTGCCATTCTATGGTTTTATCTTTTCGACTGCAAAATCACTGTCGGTCTTATACTCCTGTGTATTAACACATACTTTTATGCACTACCATTCAATCGTCAGCTCAGTATTTATTAATCGGAGGCATAAGTTGTGGAGGTGCCTAGACGTCCCCCCCACGAACTCTTTCACAAGTAGTTATTGATAAAAATATCTTGTGCAAGTCATCTCTGTCAATAAAAATGCCCTTGCTCAATCGCAAGCTCCGACAACTTGTAAGTGAAGTTACAAGATCAAAAGACTGCAAGTAGAGCACCAGTTATGCGAGATATTGGTGCTAAAGAGCATTCACGCTAAGTGGAAAAAGCTACTGGCTGCTACCACACTAACTAATGGGTTCACTCAGACGAGTTTGCACAAAGCGGCGGGTCTCATACCCCTGTTACACGGCCACCACCAAACTCTGTTAAACTCCGTCGACGTAAAGCTCCGCTAGGTAGTTCGACAGAGATGGAGCTGTATCAGTGTCACACGGCAATGACTAGGTTGCAATAGTTGCCGCGAGGGGGCTCAGCCGGCACTGCGAGTTTCACAGAGGTACCCCAATTTCATCTCTAGGTGCTTTTTTGTAAATCTTCGTTTTGCGGTTTTTACGAAAACACAATGTTAAGTATGTCTGAAGGCAACATAGCATTAAAACTTATTTCAAATGGAAACACATTCGCTAATTGTAGCAATGCTGGTAGCGACACTGGCCACCTTGTGCCTAACGCTATGGTTGTTTACAATTGCGATGTGCTCGGCGAATAGTTGGTTTTGTAGCCTGTGCACCTAAGTTCTTGTTTTTCCTTCGCTCCTGAGCGCATCCCAAGTCACCCTTGAATGAGGTCTGGTCCCATTAACCATTCCTGCAGTCGTCGAAGCAGGTGACAATGATACAGCGCTGTCAGTCATTCCTCTCCCGGGCCCACGCAAACATGGCGACGACAAGAACCGCACGCATGGACGATGCCCTCTACACCGCGCCAAAGAAACACACGTTATAAATGAGTACTGCAACAAAAGAACGTTTAATATTGCCAAAATGTAGTTATTGTTGTCACTGCGGCAATTTAGTGCTCTAATTTTTTTCTGACCTGCCGATACTGAGAACGAGAGTACCTCGTTCCACTACAAAAGGAGATCATTGAACGTCTTTTGAGAAATGCTCCGTTTACCTTTGTTTGCGTAAGGGTTGCCATGAGACACGGACCGCATCGCCCTTGTCGTAAGGACGAAGGAGCTAAGTGGTGTTCGCGAGTGCCCGTGCGACAAGGGTATTAGTGAGCCCGGGTGAGTAAAATTAGCGAGTCTGAGTGAATGCAGTTAAAAAAATTTTGGTCAATCAGAGTCCAAATAAGCCTAAAGGGCAAAATGACCTTTACGAGTAAGCCTGAGCGAGCTCCACATTTTTCGTCATCGACCTATGGCCAAAACTGAGTAAAATACAGCGGTTGCATCACCAATGTTGCTGAAAGATTGAGTCAGACAGTTCTACATTGAGGCAACACCAAAGACATAAGCATCAACAGCCTTTAATACAAATAAATGGTAGGGTTACACCAAACAGTGCACAGTACACATTACAAAGTAACTTGCTAAACACCACCGGAACGCCACATAACGTAGCAGGACAATTACAAATACGTACTAGAATTTTTTTATATATATTACTTGGCCTAGAAGCTTAAATAATGACACTAACAGAACAGAGGACAGCTTCCCTGACGGCATTTGTGGCCTACCGCTGCAAGACTCGAACGAAAGCACCTTAAAAGAAAAGCAATGACTTTTACAATCTAGGCAAAAGGTGTCATTTGTTGATCCCTTATTTTGGCCAGTAGAACAGCAACAAAGGAAAAAGGCAGTAAAACACATTTGACTTTTTTCCACACTAAATGACACAAAATGGCTTCCTAAGGAAAACTTAAAGTATATAAGGTATGAAAATGCAAGAAACAAAACAATGTTAGAACACACTTTTGTAACGTACGCAAAGTCTTTCAAGAAACTATGATTTGCACAATTAACGTTGGCAGTCTGAATGCTTGTGTAAACTCAATATGTGGTGACATAACCTGTTCCTTTAGTACACTTTAGTAGTCTCGATGATTGATGGTTCTCGCAAAATGAAGAAACGACTTGCAACAGTCAGCTGCACACTGGCACCACAGGCAGCAGCTACCACACAGGGACGCACTACATTAAATCTCGTGTTTGCTTCTCAGCTGATGTAGTTTGGTATCAAATACTGTATGCATTGTTCACTGGGATGTTTATGCCATTGTACAAGACTAAAATTGTGCACGAAACCTGCACAATGAAATGAATACCGGGAATGGAGGGAAGGAGATGACAATGATCGAGGTCCCGCCACAGTGGATAAGAGTGTGAAATGACAGCACACCAGAGTAAAAGCAGCTTCAAGAGCACTTTGTAAAGAATCACAAAATTCCTGCATCACAATAGCATCATCCGCTGAAGACGCCGACAAACGTCCCACGCCAGAGAGGTAGCCTTAAAGCTGTCGTCAAAAGCTTAAATCTCTAAGTTTGCATTGCAAAAAGTCGTTTTAAGTTGCATCACCAAGTTGTATACAAGAAGGTGCTTTGCGCACGTGGTTCAGATACATTTGTGCGCTTCTTGTACTACTACTGGTCACATGCGAACCAGGTGCAAAAGCAAATATCACACGGGCAACAAGAACACAAAGAATGCGTTGATCAGCTAAGCACTAGACGCAGTGCAGGTGACAGCCCCCAAAAGAGTTCCAGATTGTCCCCTAATCGGTCTTTGAAGACAGGCAATTCAGGCTCATATCGTTAACAGACTCTCACATTCTCAACATGGCAGGAGGTTCTTTTACTAGACAGCACCAATCTGGATCTAAGCATGACAAATATTTCTGGCACCTTTCCAGTAGACTTTCGCTTTAAAGCATACGACACCTTCAGCAGCAGCTGGTATGAGCCCCCAGCTGCAGGCAACAAACACGAACATGGTAAAGGCCAATCACACTACACTACGTATAGGCACAACTCTGCACCATTTGGAGGACCTTGACCCAAATTACGAGTGGGAAATATTGACCAACATCACTTCTACAGCATTTCTGCTAAATCTCGGACACTGGTTAAGTCATTTCACACTGAATGCCGAACAACTGTCAAGCCGCAAACATTAAGTACACCAGCTCCTTGGTTTCATATCCTCAAGGAATGCGCATAGAAGTTAAATAGCAAGGGAACTGAATATTCTGAACATTCACGTACGAGGTCAAGACTGGGGGAAAAAAGACACGGCTACTTGTCAGTTATTAAATAAAAATGTACGGTGGTGATACCATGAAATAAAAACATTGAAAACAATTTTTACTGCAAACACTGACTGTAATGGTCTTAATTAAAATAAAAGCACCATTTAAAATAAATCACCAGGCTACACGACCATGAGACTGCAAGGTGCAGTATGTGCCTAAAAGCACAGATATTCGTTACACCTGATCGAGAACACGAGACCATTACAGTGCCAGGGTCTACAGTGTAAATGGCTTGTCTAATTTTGATTTGAACTCGAACAAAGGGCAACAGTAAAACGAAACAACACAACTTTGAAATCAGATATGGAGCAGCTTTTTTCCACTGCCCCAAATGCCTCCTGGGAGGAGAAAGACAAAGCGGGATGGGAACGCGGAGAGTGCCTTGCATCAGCCATAACTAAACACTTGTGCGTCCCGAGCCAAGAGCCCAAAAAATTGCTCGTGCAGAGCTCTAAAAACACGATGGCATTTAAAAGATGGAGGGACTGGTGCCGTCAAGCCTTCACGAGTGCCTTGTTGACCCAATGGTACTTGTCAGGCTTCTGGCCCGGAGTCGTGGATGGGGGAAGGCCAGCCGACAGGTTCCACAGGGTGCCGCCGCGCGACAGGAACTGTGGTGAGCTGAAGGGCGTGGGACCTTTGAGGGGTGCCGCACCCCAGGGTGAAGCCCTGCCACTGCCGACACCTCGCTTCCTCCCAGAGCCCATCTCTGGCAGGGACTGTAACAGATGCACCAAGCAGCTTTCAATCGACCACAGAATGATCTTGCACAAAGACATGCCGCACATTTGAGGGAAAGAAACAAAAAGCTTTATATTACACAAGAAATTTCCAGGTTAAAGAAGTACTGCTATACCCATCACGATAATTGTTGGGGTTTTACATTACAAAACCACGTTGTGATTATAAGAGACATAATAGCCGAAGGCACAGGATATTTTTACCACCACGGGTTCTTTAACGTGCATGCACATCTAAGCCCACGGTCCTTTGACATTTCGCCTCCAACTAAGAGTGGCCGTGGTGGCTGGAATTGGATCCTATGACCTTCAAGTCAGCTGTCAAACACCATAACTAGTAGACATCATGGCGTGTTGCCTATATGCAGGAAATGCAAGGACACGGGGGAATACCACTTCACTTGTGTGGTGTAGAAGATGCGTTGACCTTATTTTGTTCAGTGAAACTGAATAGGAATACCCTTTGCAGGGTTAGTTGGTTTCGCGAAGTTTTACAGCAGCCGTGGTGCAGCAGAGGGTGAGCAATAATGGGAGCAAGGTGAGTGCCTAGCCCTGTCAACCCTCGTCCTTTCGCTGCACCACAGTATTTATAACACATAGACAAACCAACCAGTTCTGCCTCGGAATTATGAATAAGCATTAATACAGCATTTATACATACTCGACGAGCAAGTCTAAAAATGGCATCTCTCTGTGGCCTAAAAAAGAAAGTGTGCCAATCCCAGAGATAGTGGAATACGTGATTACAAAAGTAAAGCAAGCTTTTCCCCATGCCATTCCAGGACACCCCGTTGCCAAGCATTGCCGTATATACCTGTTTTGGTCTGTCTCCAGAACGTTGCTCCAACTCGTCAATGTTAATTTGGTCCACGAAGTTCTCTTTCCTGCCTGCCTTGAATGATGCCAACACATAGTATACACCACGACGCTCCCCAAACCTATAAAAACAGCAGAAAGAAAACAGAATGGGCTCTGGTCATACAGTAAATATCAACATTAATGTTAATCCTACGTTTGTAAGAAAGGTCCGGCCATTGCAAGTATCAAGTTACACTGCCAATTCAATTTATATCCTAAGCAAGGAGATACACTGCAAAAGCAGCTTCAAAAAGCATAGTCTACTGCCAACAGAAATACTGCTGTGATGTAAGCAATTCAGAAAAAAAAAAGAGAGAATGCACAGTCATACTGAATATCATTAATAGCAATTGAAACCCTATATCTGAAGCGAAAGTGGAGCAAATGTACTCATATGCACAGTGATATGAATATCAATGCATTTCTATGATTAGATATGATATACAGTCAAACCTCTTCATAACGAAATCGCCCCGGTAGAAAGTTGAGTTTCTTCTTGCGAGAATTTCACGGTTGCAAAAATAGAGAAATGAATGCATCAGTTGCTTCGCAGAACCGAAGTTTACTTAAAGGAGCACTGACATCAAATTTACTCATGTCAAGATTTTTGCGTCAACGAGTAGCTATCGACCCCCTAGTAGCGATTCGCGACCTAAAACGCATCTCTTGTGACGAATGAGTATCTGTAACGTTGATTAATACATTCGCTATCGAACGCGGTTCAAAATGGGTGGAAAGCCCGCCAAATTATAGTGCTGGCAGCGCTACCTCCTGGCCTGCGTCGAGGGCGCTGCATAGCCGATGCATCTTTCACAAAAAATGGTGACATCACACTGGAGCGCATGTACAGTCAGTCCAGCTGTAGGTTCGTTCGATTCACCTGCACCAATTGGAACTGGTTCATGGCTGTGCACGCGAAGTGTCAGAAATTGTGCAGCGTGCGTTCAGCGGTGCAGGTACAGCGCAACCCCCGAAACAAATGACGATGTGCCAACAAGGTGCAGACCTTATTTCTGTTGGCCTAATTTACACCGTTCAGCTAACACTGAACGATGGCAAACCGCACATGCGGGCAATTTATGAGGCGCAAACATCTTGGCAAAACACACAGCGTTAGTAGAGGCAGATACGGCGCATACGCCTAAGTGCTGCGTCGTCTGCTCAGTTGCATGCACGGCTGCACCAAGCCGGCACCATCAGCGTAGGAGGTGCATGAAAATCACGAACCAGTGCTGCACCTCTTCTGCACTTTTTGAAACGAATGACAGGATTCAGAGGTCATCAATGCTGCACCACTGAAACGAATGGCAAAGTGCAGCACCCCGTGAACTGGTTCACGTGGTGCAGGCGAATCTAACGGACCTTGTGTCTCTGAAGGCGTAGACATGCCTCTGTCGCCAACATCGTCATCCCCGCCGTCGTCTCGGTCAACATTGGCAAGTGATGATGACAGCGACCTGGAATTGGGTATCGCCGCGATTGGCGACGATCCTTGCTTGAAAGCTCCGTGTTAAATGCAATGTTTTATCAGTCCCGGCTGTACTGTGGGAGCTCAGGAACACCAACTACGCACCTCATGTCACGGACATTTGGCGAGTGAATCGCTGCTTTCAGCTGCAGCAGGGCACACGGTTGGAATAGCCCCGGCCTCGAGAAGAGGCCTCATATTGCCAGTGAAACCCAACTGGTTCGCCAACACAGGATTTACCCTGTAGCAGCTCGCCGCAAAGTGAAAGGGGCAAATGAGGCTGTTGTTGACAGGCATCTAGTCCCTCTGTCCAACGGTGCGTACGAAGTCAACCTACTCCCTGCAGTGAGGTTCGTGGCTTGGAAAGGCACGAAACGTTTCGCAATTTCCGTGCCTCGACGTGCAGGTTCTCACTACGCAGCGGTTCCCCGACATTCTGGCCCGCATTGTCGCTCTGAATGATCGTACTCACACGCAGTGGAGCATAACGCAGATCAGTCGATGCAACACGATGAAACGCACGCACGCTTCAACACAGCAAGGAGAGCGAGCATGGCTGGGAGTTGGCGGACTCGGCTCCAAACACACCCAGAGATCGTCGACGTCATCGTTACTAGCGTATCATCACTCAGGATGGTATTTGTGGAATGTATCACACCGAACACGTGGCACTAGTGTCAATGTCGCAGGGCAGTCTATTTTTCATTTTTTCTCCTTAGCTTTTCTACGCTGTTTGACGTCGAAATAAAATAACTTCGAAGCGACAGACGCCATTCAAATTTGACCACGAAGACCTATGCATACCAAGTGATTGAATGATGGGCACATCTCGATCTTGAAATTTGATGTCAGTGCTCTTTCAAAGCCGTTGATCTTGCACTGTTTTACGTTTCTTTGAAGGAACTTGATGGTTTGAGCCTCGCAGCTTAAAAAGCCTTGCATAGCTTTGTCATCGTCGTAGGCGCCAAGGCAAGTGTGAATGATATCAAAAACACCAAGAACTTTGCGAGCTTATTTGCCTTTCTTGTGTTTTGTTGCTTTCCTTGCTGTTGTTGTGAATATTATATTCTTTGCGCACACTTTCGATGATGATGTCTTTGCTGAACTCTTCATGCACAATCTAGACTCAGAACATCATGTGCCAACACATGTATGAAGCACTGTCCCTAGTGAAAAAAAAAACAACAACAAACAAACAAACAAAAAAACGTCCTGTTGCTGTCATCATCATCCAACTAAATGTAAACAACAATAGACGCACAGATGCTTGTTGGCAGAAACTTGTATGCCTGATTTGTTCAATGACCGTTGCCACAATTATTTTTTTGGTTCGCGACTAGCACACAGGTTAAACAAAATGTTGCCCATCACTAGGTGAAACCTTTGTTATTGCAGATATTCACCACCAAGGGAGGGGGGAAATGCGCTGAACTCTATGGATGTTCTCCGAGAAAGCCAGATTTCTTCATTGCCACAAGAATTTATTTCTTGAGGGGTTCTACTCTACCACGTATTAATGACTTTGTAAGCACCTAAAGTACACCCTTGCAATTTAAAAATATGTTTAACGCAGGAATACTGACTGCACAACATGTCAGTGCCTGTCAGTGCCTCATAGGCACTGACATGCAAGCTTCGAGCGCTTATGATACCAGGAAGACGGCTCAGAGAGCAGAGTTAAAGGAACGCTTTACCTCCAAGTCGCAAACTCAATGCGTAAGGGGTTATCTTAAGCATATTATAAAGCGCGGCTGTATATATAGCTCGTCTGTCATTCTGCCTGAATTCACTATAACCAGTCCTCATTTTCTATCGACAACTTATATTGTGCTGCATTACAAATCTTCTATTGGCATAGTGCCATTGTAAGCCAGCAAATGCTTCTTTCTGACAATGCTTTTTGCATTATAAGCATAGTTTTTCATCAAGTGTCAAAAGTGTAGGCAGGCGGTGGTGCTTCTTGTTTGGAGAAATTTAACTGGTATACGTTACACATTCACATACACAAGCTCGCACAAGCATGCATGCAACACATGCAAACACACACATATATGCCCCATTAACATCCGTGCAGTGCCCTTAGAATGACCGCTATTTGTATGCGGTATATCTCTCGTCCAACTATGTTAGACATGAAATATTCAGACCTCACTGTGTTGGGAATGTCAAATTTACATTCCACGTTTGTAAAGTGACACGCTATACTAAGCTCCGCCAATGGTAAACATTCGGCACAAAGCTACCCCCCCCCCCCCTTTTTTTAAGGGGGTGGGGCGCAAAACAGCTTTGGTAATTTGTGGTCGCAGTGAATGCGTGTAAATATTTTAGTATCCCCTAAAAGGATAAAGGGACACAAACGGCAACTATTAAGTCAACATTGATTGTTGAAATAGTGATACATAAACCTCGTAGTGTCACTTTTGTGCCAAGAAAGGGCTTATTTTGAAATAAAATTGTGTTTTAGTGTCCGCATCGGGTTAGCGCACTTCAAATTACCAACCTCAATGAAACGTCTGATGTCACTGTTGCCATGCATAATGTTATCCGTCTTTAATGTGTGGTCGCCGACACTATAGTAGCAGCAGAGGGAAAGTCGCAGGAGCCACAGCAGCAACAATAGCCATTGAACATTTTTTAGCCATGACCTTCAAAATTGCAGACGTGATTGGTTCAACTGGGCCCCGCTAGATGGCATGACCTGTCCAGTTTAACTACACGAAAATTGAATTTTTGAACCACTCGTGCCATTTCCCATAGTAACATCCGCCAGTTATTTTTTCCATGAATTAAACAAAAACGAACAAGCAGCATTTTATTGCCTATCTTAATGCAAGGAAGCTAGATCTATTACTAGTGATTAATTGTAGGCGTCCGTCTGACGTCATCCGGATCATTTTGAGAATTTCCTACTGCGGCATATGTATTTTTGTGCATTTACCTTAATTTCTCTGCAAGTAGGGCACTGCTGTAATATTGTCGTTTTAGACGTCATACATTGAGCTCTCACTCTGACGTGAATTGTTATTCGACTTAAGTGTCCCTCTGAAGCATTAAAAAAAATTTCGGCATGGAGGGGTTCGGATTCCCTCCTCTCCCCCTGGCCCTCTCTACTTATGGCTTTCTGGTTCGTCGTGCTTTCTTTTGAGAGAATATTTTAATTTTTTTTTTCAGCATGCAGTGTTCTGAACGTCTACTAAATCGGCTCAGTTACTCTGAATAAACCAGATGCCTAACCAACGCAAGAAGAAAGAATTAAAGCAGGAGAAATCAGAATAAGACACGCCTTTTCTATTTCTTCTAGCAGTAGTCCGGCGTCTATTAATTAAAAGTAATGCACCAACTAGTACAGCAACGAGTTTGGCTCAATTACACTGAGAGTGGAGATCTTCAACATAACAATCAGCCCGTTTTAATTTTTTTTCTACATTTTGCATAGCTCTCTAAAGCAGCTTCGGCCACAAGAACTAATTCGCAGCATCTCTCAAGGGTATTTATCAAGCATCTATCAAAATATGTTTATGTATAAATGAGACTATTTTTATGATGCAGTACAACTCAATTATGCCTAACTTCCAATAATTGTGATTGTTAATCTCCGAAGTCATGTTCTCTTTAATAAACACATTGCCAGCAGTTTTAGACCACGCTTATGCCGATGTTCACAGTACAAAAGTAATTTGAAGCACATATAACTTCAGGATAAGTGTGTAATAATGCTGGGACTAGAAAACCTCACTGTGCCCCTCCCCCCTTTCTAATGAGGTATTTCTTTCTCATAGCTTTCATACCTTAGTAACCATTTTAACCGTTGAGAAAATAAATAATTTTCTAGCTCTCATAAGGGCTTTCATGGAGCTGAAATTCGGTACTTTGGCATGCCATCCCTCAAGGTTTGTGACAGCATGTGCTAGACAGGACTGATGGGCAGGTACAACGAAAGCTGCATCAAAAAAAGTGCGCTGGAGGAGCCAAAGTGCACAGCAGTTTTTGCTCAAGGCGTGCTGCGCTTTCAGTACTAATGAACTGCAGCACCGCTGCTGCGGTTAACGTGGAGGACATCAGGCGTCGAGATGTGTTCCCGCCACTCAACAGTTCTTGCATACTCTACTTGAGTGCTTAATTTCCTTTTCCCGCCAAAGGTGATTATTTTTTTTATGGCCGATTTCGAATCTGGCTACTCTGAAAAGCACCTAGTTGATGTGGGAAAAATATTTGTACCACGTACTCAGGCAAATCAACACAATAAAGTTTACTTCTGAACAATACATAGGAAACCAGCTACCTGTTGCTAGTAAAGATATAAACCTTGTATATAGAATAGTTGCAGACACCACACCTTTCTTCACTCGTGAAAGCTGCTTGGGCTATTTCACTTGGAGTGATTCAAGACTGTGTGGAAAATTTCAAAACACGAATTAACATAAAGCGGCCTCACGGGCAAGCACTTGTGATGTTCGGAGGAGCTGCACAGTTCATTATAATTGTCGTCTTCAGTTCTGGATACAACATAGACATCTCTACTCAAATCATCACTCGAAGATGATCAGAACGAAAAGCTTCTTTTTCTTTTTGATGGGTCAGATATTAATGGGTCGCCGCCACCATCTTTACATACAAAAACGGCACTCCTGTGGCAGGAGAAAATCATTGAGTAAATGCTGGGATCTAGAGGATGACACGCAATCTAAGCCGTAGACAAGCACTTCTCGTACTGAACACAACATGAGAGTACCTATAAGTTAATTTCCTTCTCCTCGACTAGCTTCAACACTTGCCAAGGAGGGAAGATGTCGAGGTTAAGAATGGGTGCCCCTCCATGACGAGTGCTCAGTGGCAGCACGAAGGAAGAGCCGTAGTTCGGTGAAGATACTTTAATGCAGCCTCAAGCGTCTGCCCAGGTCCAAGCCTGAACCTCTGCCCTCTTTTCACATTCACCCTCTTCTCAAACCTCGTTTGAACAAAACGTCTCCACACAAGCCAATCACACGTTCAGGCTTGCATCGTCACAACAAATCACAGAAACACTTTCAAAACAGGCACTGCATTGGTAAAAACCACGTTACCAAATACAAAACGCGAAGGGATAGGTTCTCCGCGTGTCACACTCCACATGCCAGGCCATCTATCAGCCGACCTCCGCGGGCAGCCGTTCTCACGCTCAAGCTCCATCAGCTCTCTCAACGTCGTTTTTTAGAAACCTCCTTAAGCGTGGTGAGTACACCATCAGGCTCTGTGCGTTGACCAGGTGTGCACGTGACAGCGAGGTGCCCCGCCATCCTAACAACACTCGGTAATGACATATAGTGGGGGAGGATAAGCTCGTCTCTGTGTCGCAACCATGTCTCGGTCAGCCCAGTGGTCGCGTCCCTGCGGCATTCTCAATGGCACACGTGCATACCAACAATGACTTAAACTCAGACGACCGCGCTTGACGTGATTCTTGCAAGACGCGCGTCCGAGTAAGCTTTCCCCTTCTAGTCCCAAACGGGGGCTACCTTGACAGCTCCACTCGTGAATCGTGTGAATGAAAGAGTCTCCTTTCTCTCTCGTGCGCGGGTTTTCTGCGTTTGCCTTCACGAAACAGATCGGTGTCGTTAGTTGACGGGTCAGGAACTCTGCGCTCTGCAGCAGCCGCATTAGTTGCGCTACACAACACGCCGCTAATGGTTGCCTTATACTAACTCTATACAACTAGAATATCTTCTGCTCGTCCAAAGCACTTTGGGGACGGTTTTGGCAGGACGAGCTCTGCTCGTCAAAAGAAAGCACTTAAGCGGTTTGAAGACTGGAGGATGGCAGAGTGGGTTAGGGAACGAAGACGGGTTGCAGATATTCTGGTTGACGTCTAGTGAAAGAAATGAATTAGGCTGGCTACGTAATGCGTAGGGAATACAACCGGTGGACAGCATAAGCAACAAAGTGTTTGCCATAAAATGGGAAATGCAGTCGAGGAAGGCAGAGAGTAAGATGATATGACAAAATTAAGAAGTTCACAGGAATAATATGAAAGCAGCTTGCACAGGTTATGGTAAACTGAAAACCATTAGAACTAAAACAGGCTGTAAATGATGATGACGATATACCATGTGGTCAATGCTTGCAGGATAGTATCAAAAACAAATCACAGGGGTGTTCACAAAATGAAATGAATCTTATATAGCACCAATAAATCAATTTTCATTTCCACCGCCTTCATTTTGTGTCACATCTGCATAATATTGGCTTGTATGCCAACTTCAGAGCCCGCATAAACTTAAATGGCCAGATTCATAGCAAAAAAATGTGGATAACTTGAGCCCACATCATCTATAGTGGCCAAATTCATTGTGGCAAGATGTGGTTATCTTGAGCAGTTGCACGTACCAGTTCTTGCAAGCTTTGCTGGCACATTTTATTTTATGAAAACTGTACAAGCACACTAAAGTGGTGAGCTGTTTGCCATTACAAATAAGGCTTTAACATAATACCAGAGTTCTGCACATTTGAGAATGCATTCTCTCTGCAATTGCAAATCTAAAATTTCCATTTTAGGCTTTGCATCTTTTCTACAAAAATGCATACACTTAGCAGGAACTAAGCAATAACGATAGAATTGTTACTAATTTTATAATGCACTGACCGGCTTTACACTTTCAATTTATTGTGCAGCAAGCACACTTAAAAAGACGAAAATACACGGAAGAACGAATTTCCAAACGGTAACTTTTATGACGATAGTTAGCCCAAGCTGCCACACTTTTAGGTAACTTCCATCACATCGCTTTGTACCAAAGCCATTCCGGGCAAAACTTTCCCGAACGTTTTAAAGCTGTGAGTCCCGCCTCACCTGCAGCCAACTTCCTCGGGGTCCACCCACACGGTCAGCTCGGCAGGCAGGCAGAGGTCATCGTATCCGAGGCCACAACGGCGCGATGCCTGCTCCAGCACAGGCTCTCGAGGCTCGTTCTCGTTGATTCGAATGCAACGGTACGCTTGACCCCGCGATGGCCGCTCGGGGAACCAGTGATCGCGGAACCTATCGGTGAGGACGCATCGCAGCCGCTCGCCCAAGACGTCCACCTGCGCCCGGTCCAGGCTCGAGTTCCTAGCGATGACGCGCACCAGAAAGGCTACCGCCGCGTCGATCTCGTCCTTCATCGCACGCTGACCGACTTCCTCCGCCAAGATGCGACGACGCAAAAGACATTTAACACACGCAGGGCAGGCAGCCTCCTGCGGGGATGTGCGCACACGACCTCGATGTGCGCGCGGGCAGCCTTTAGATCACCACCACCACCGACGCCTTCCACTGGGTCAGCGCACTGCGTGAGAAGGGGAAAGGGACATCAGCCCGCAGGCGGCCAACTCGATGGCCACAAAAAGAGCGCCTAAAAAGCTCGCATTATAGCATCGGACACTTTTGCAACGCACAGGAAACGATGTGGTCACCGAAACGCACAAAGTATGAGCGTAAAAAACGGGCCCATCTAAATCGACGCTTTGCGGTCGCCCCGCTAACAAAGCCGAGTGCCGTAAGGAGTTTCACACTTTCCTTTTAAGGGGATTACAGAGTAGTTTCCTAGTGGATAAGCTTTACAGTCAATATATGCACGCTTATTTACTCTAAACCATAAACAATTCACTTCCTAAAACGAAACATTGAGGCAAAATAAACTTGACAAAGGGAACGGCAGACTTACGGACGAACTCCCTCTCCCCAATCGACTTTCTTTTGCGGAATCGGAATGTACTACTCTTACGTAGCCGCAGTTGTCAAAACTATGAATAACTTTTCAATCACATAAAAATCCAAATTTAGTGTATACTGTATTGCAGCAATTTTTTTTTGTATTTGGCTTACAGCTAGTTTGTGATCAGCAATAAAACAGCTATCTCTTTTTTTTTTTTTGCCCCGCTAGAGCACGTTGGCTTCGCTAGCGCACTTTTTATTGTTATGGCGCCGGGTAGCAAGATGAAGGAAAATGAAACGGATGAAGAATACTTGATTTCTATGGCACGAAGCTGCCAGAAAAGTGATCCGTATTTTACAAAGTCTTGGATGCTTACAGCGAAAACACTTTTTCCGGATAATTTCGGAATACAGGCAAGCGGAGCTGTTTCTTGCGTTTCATTGCAGCTTGAAGTGTGGACGGAGGGTGTAGCACAAGTCGATTAAGGGGGCAGACTGCTCTTTGGGACCAAAAAGTGACAAAAATATTCATTTTTTAAAATTGACATATTTGGTTTCTGCAAGTATTTTTCTATCTCTCTGCAAATTTTCACGCACCAAGAATAGTAATTTTTTTGTAATGTCATTTTAACTGTCCAGATTCTTCGTGCTGTTAACATGCAGAACCTGCAAAAAAATGGGGAACCAAGTTTGAGGCTTCTTTATAATTTGCCAGCACCTTTGCTAAAGCTCTACTACCAATTTATGAGCGCCTTCGTGAGGATTGCTAAACATGCGCACCATGATCGTTGCTTTTTGAAGAAACTGTGTGTTTTCAGTTTTTTCCATTTTTCTCAAAAAAGTAAATTTGTGACTATTCAATTTTGAGGCCTCAATATCTCTGCAGCTAGGGCAGGTACAACAATATTTCTATTTGCAGTGGAAACCTGTATGCGTGTAGAATGCAAGTATGGGAGCAAAATTTAGAGCACATGCCCTTTTAATTAATTACTAATCAAAATAGTAACACAATTCCAACTGCTTTTGAAAATGTAAGTACATTTTGCTGCAAAATAACCAATAAAGGTCTAAAAACAAAAACCTCTTCCATACTTTCACTCTATAGTCATTAGTCTATGTTGGCATATCCTAAATATCACTTTTAATTAAGCACTTTTTTTTCTATGGTGGCCTTAAACAATAGGGAGTGAACTTAAGTTATCTCAGCAACAAAGTGAGTTACAGGAAAACTAATTACATATTTGAAATCAGCAGAAAAAACTGTATAACCCTGTGCAGTTTTATCAAGATCACTGAAGAAATAAACAAAAAATGTCTAAGACCAGTCTGCCCCCTTAATTAATCTGCCTGCAACGTAAATATGCTCTGCGGCTTCTTTTGGATGCGGCCAATGATACCTTAAAGTTTGCGCAACTCGCCGCTAACCAAAATGCTAGAGTTTTATTCCCTTTTGTGCCTGTATGTGCTGTAAGTAGCGTTGACGCACTGGCGTCATATTTGAAGAGACGCGAAAGTGAATCTTATTACTAGCTTGCACTGACTTTCTCAAAGAAAAAAAACGAGACAGCCAGCGCTGAGCTGGCGCGTGCCGCCTCTTCGCGCGCACAGCAACTATATCGGCAATTCTTGACGTGTCGCTTAACGATAAAAAGTCTTTTGTACGCCGGGCATATTTAATAAAGTTTTTACTCACTAATTTTCTCACATTTAGAAATGAAAGACAGCCAGTGCGTGTACGTAACACCCGATGTCGCGTGGAACAAAGGTAGTGTGACGCGGAGCATGAATAAATTAGCCTAGGGCAGTAGTCAAGAAGATGTAGTTGCCGTGTACTCAAAGCAATTTCGGCTGCTCGAATAACAGCGCGTGATGCGTAAGAGAATACTTGAAGTCATACGTGCTTACAAAATCATATGCACGCACGAAATCTGGTTACACACTTTCATCTGCTTACCTCCATTTAAGATCTGCCGGTTTTCATTAAGGTTGTGCCATGCTTCTCCGTAACTCGGACACCTTAACATGCAGGATTCCTTACACCCGTTTCATTCTCGCACTGTTCTTGTGTTGTGATATTTTAGTAATTACTGCAAAAAATGTGTATGACAAACTGCACAATATGAAAGTATGTGAGTTTGACCAACCCATTGGATTCTCTTGCGATTCCATTGAGAAATTTGTACTGTAAATTCAGTTCTTGCAGTAGAAAAAGTTTGAATGTCGACTGCATATTACATTTACACAGTCCTTTGTTCAGCGCGTTGTACGTTGCAGGCATAAAGATGTGGATGCATACTCCTATTTCTCATTAGTATGAATCACTCCAGAATCCTCTGATGGATAAACATAGTGCTATAGCACCTTAGATTCCTTGCAATATCTTGGGACCCAAAAAGGGACATCATACTAGCCTGCACATAAAGAGGAAACTCATGTGCAAATGAACGCATGTGGAAAAGACAAATGAAATAAGAAGGAAGCAGACCCGTGAAGGGTCGCAGAGTGGAACACAGCACCTGCCTGCTTTCTCAGGAAAAGAAAAGAGAAATAGTGTTTGAAAGGGGGAAGAGAGGATGAATGGTAAAATATATATTGCAGAAACAAACAAAAAATAGTGCTCCACGATTGGGAGTACGAGGCCGTTTTTTGAAGGAAGGAAAGTTAGCAGGGCACAATGAGCCTGGCTTTGGGGAGAAGTGCACCCACTCGGGAACAGACAAAATTTGAGGGTCATACACGTTAGTCCAAGCACGCTATGTTTCTTTAGTGGCAATGCATGCAGCTCAACAAGTGTGGGGCACTGTTATGTCTACAAGTGTTTCACGGGAGCCACACGACTGACTGTCAACATGCTTTTATGGGTACTAGTACTCAGGAACCATTTATGAGCCAACCCTTGCAGCCCATAACGGGGCTGTAAAAATGCAGAGTCGAGCCACCCACGAGGGCAGCGAACAGTGCATTTGTTGTGCACTGGTTTTGGTGCTATTTCAAAAGAAAACAAGCTTGATCCAAACTCAAGTAAAGATAGTGTGGGTCATAGCAAGGAGCTTGAACACTGCCCCTTGTGCCTCTCTCAAGCATGAATATGGTCTCATAGTTTAGCACTCAAGTTGTTGGTAAATGTGCTGTTTATAAAAATATATTTTCTAAATTTCATGCAAAGATAAATGGGCCTAGTTAACCTCTTCAGGGATAAATGTGAACAATGGAAAATACAATCATGCTCCAGTGAAGTATATGTTTGGTTTAGTGTTACGGAATGGGTGGCTCCATTCCATTCGAATTACATTCTGGGAAATTAGAATTGGCTGCAATGACACTCCTCGGAATGAAAAAACTTTGCCCATTCCCACTCTAAAAATGGCTGGGCAGTTCAATTCTATTTATGCAAGTCTTCTACGTAGGAAAGGCATTTTGATATCTTTATTAAGTCAAGAATAAATGCCCTATAAAGCCGGTGTCATCAGATGCATTAGGGACTGCAAAAGTATGTAAAAACATGTTACTGCACTACCAAGGCGCCGATGTGTTTGGACAAGGGTGACAGTATTGCAGGGAGGGGTGGGGGGCAGTATGAGGTGAAACGACACGCAAGCTGGTATACGAAAGCTATCAGTAAATTTGAGCATCACGTTAGCGTCCATACACAATACAACTTAGAGAAGTACTTTTTTGAATATGCGTCTGAGTCGCCGACGGGGACGACAGAAAAAAAAAATGGCAAGGCATAAGGGGAGGGTGGGGTATGCTGCTGCCAAAGTTACGTATGACGGTATGTTTGCCTGGTGTTTTACACCAGGCAAACAAGCCAGTTAAATTTAAATCTTTCCCACTTCAACAATGTTTATAACGAACGACTGTTGGAATTCTTCGGAGCTCAAACTTGGAACATTGTGCCTCTAGAAATAAAAACTATGCATAACTTCAACCTTTCTTGCAAATGCTTTGTCTTGTCTAGTGAATTGTAATCACCTTTCATACATAGATTGTACATTGTTGAAAATTTCATATGTACAAAATCAATCATTTTTATGACCAATCATGCGCATTGCTAACTTCTATGTATCTTCTGTATTGGACCCACTACTAGCCACGTAGGCTATTGGCCCAACTATTATGTACGCATCTTTCATACACACACCCTAATAAACTCGATTTGATTTGAAACCAACGGCATAGAGGTGCAGTTATGCAAATAGAGACAAACTTTGAAGCAACACAGTCTATGTAGGGGCAAAATTGTAATAGGCACGTTCTTTATGGGTTCCTTATGACTACATGCTTTTAATCAGGTGAGCCATTTTAAGAATACTGCTTTATTGCAGAATTAAAGGCTTCGACTCACTAATGTTTCAAGTTTGTAGAACAGTGCGTAGACGAAAACGTTCCCTATTTTCGAAAGAAAGCTTGATCCCATATCCTTTCTATTCCGTGCAAAATTGGCTTGTGTTATTCCCATTCAGTTTTGGGGCTGCTAAAATGTGCAATGATTCTGGAGTCATTTCAATTCTGTAGTGGCAACGCTGGTTGCTTTCAGTTGCCTTGATGTAATTTCACTGAATGGGCATCCATCAAACCTGCTTGATTCATTTTTTAAAATTATACGCATCTCACATCAAGCACTGTGACAGATCTTCATGTCATCTTGTGTTTGATTCTTTGTATCTTGTAGTATGAAGCCTATTGCTTGGCTTCAGACAGTGGAAATATCAAAGAAGCATCAGGCTACTTGGAAGAAATGTAAGTCTTACGTTCATCACTTTGTGGGACTGCTGTAATTTATTGCTGCATCTTTTTGAAGGATTGTGAAACAAAGGTTTTTCTTTTCAGTGAATGCTAATGTGTTCAGTATATTTTTATGGCTTTTACTGTGGAGTAACTGTGCACACTACATTTTATTAATGCTCAAATCCTCGAGTTGAGTTTGTTAGCATATTTTTAGTTATTGAGAGTCATAGGCTTGTTAAATTTATAAAATGCACACATTTGTTTTGCCAATATATAATTAATATTTATGACTGGTTAAATATGCTGTGCTATTAGCACATTTTTACCTCAATTCTGGCTTTCATTTTTTTACCTCAGGTTCAGGAAGTTTCCGACAGAACATCGTCTCTGGGATGAAGTGTACAAGATAGCCAATGCCCTTCGAGCTGACACACTTGATCCAAAAATTGCCGTCTTGAGAGGTATATATCCTTTACATGTACTGTTTTTTTTTCTTTGTTTTGAAATCATACAACACGTGCACATTTGTCTTCTCGCCTTTCTTTTTTGTCTGTCATGTGTGCGCAAGAATGTTTCCAAGAATGCACACTGTCAAGAGACTTTGTTGGCATAGACAAACTTGAAAAATGTGTCGGTAATAATGACCTATTGGTCCTTTGTGAGTTGTTGGTCACCTTAACTACTGCTCAGTTTTTTATAGTCTTTTTATAATTTTTATTTACATCCTTCTTCCTGCAAAACCTTGATGGATGTGATACAAGTGTACGGAAGACAGAGCTTAGTGGCTTATTGTCCACATTTCTTCAGTGTTGGTACCCCGAGAACCGTTGAAATCTATTCACTTCTAGAAATATAAAAAATTTTGTATTGGTGTCTGGTTAACACCTTATGTTTGCCTGGTTAGCATTTGACAAGAAATATTGACTTTCAATAACCTTGGGGATTATTCCACATGATGGAAGCCATAACTGGCGTGGCAGTGCTGTTCTATGCGCTCCTGCATGAAAGCTTGAAAGCTGGTAAAAAAAGCAAGCAAAGAAAGTGCTGCAGCGTTTTATTCTTTATAATATTACTTATTCACGGTTATTTTTATAAGCAGAATTCTGGGTTCCCAGCTGCCTAACAAATATGTGGCATTATTTGTAGAGTTTGTGTGTTCAGGGGCCTATTTCAGCCACCTGATTTCACTTCAAGATCACTTTGATAATTAATTTTTTTTTTTTTCAGATATGTTCAATCACTTGCCAACAGCCTCACAGCATGACATCTTACTTTCTATAGCTGGTGAGTGTGCATTCTTTATTATAAAATATTTACCTCAATAAAGGCTGTGTTTGTGGAATGTAAAACCATTTTGGAGCTTGGCACAGTAGTTCTGCAGACTTCTTTATGAAGACACTAAAGGTAGGGAGAACCTTTTTTTTTTCTGTTACTTAGCTATATCATATTCCTTGAATACTCTTTCTGAAGGTCAATAAACTTCACCATCATGTCATGGGGGAGCTTGATTATTTTTATTTATTTATTTTTATTTATCATATACTGCGAACCATTTAAGGTCCAAGCAGGAAAGGTACAGCAAGTTCAAAGGTAAAATAAAGGTACAACAAAGTTACAACAAAATTGATACTGGTATACACGAAATGTAAGAAAAACATAGCAATCACCATCAAATTATACTCGTTTCCAGAGGGCTGAGTACACCCACTGCAACACAATAGCGCGATATATCAATGCAATTGATATAGCGCGAAAAGCTGCCACGCTGCGCCATCACCGTTGTTTAGAGGCCACGCCTCTCTGCCTTTGCATGCAGCAAGAAAAAAGAATGTCTTGACAAAAGAAGCTTCCACAACTGATGTTGTAATAAAACTAGAAGTGTTAAAAATGTACTGTAGAAGTGAAGAAATGCACATTCCGAAAGTCCATAGTAGGGTGGCACATAGATGTCCATGATTAATTGTAAAAAAAGGTAGGCAAGTCACCAACACTTCCATACCTTGACTTTTAATCACATGGGATTTAGCCCATATTTGCCCTTGGCGGTACATCATGGAACGGCTGTTGGCACACACAATCGTGACAGGAAACCATGTTTCATTACATGTTCACAGAGAGTGACAATTAGTATTTACATACTCTATCATTTATAATGACAGTCAACCAAGCCAGTGGTAAAACCTTTTTACCAATCAACGGTGTCCTGTGGCGGGCTTGCATTCCACATTACCCACGATAAGTGTCTATTCCAGCCGTATTCATTGTGTAGATGCGGGCAGTTTAGTCCATTGCTCTCTGCCTTATGTGCATTGCAGAACACTGCATGGACACAGCTGAGCACTGCAGGCTCATGTTGCTCCTCTTGCGAAAGTTCCCAGAGAAGGTGGTGGAACATGGTGTAAGTATCCTCCAAAGGTTCAAAGACCAGCGACAACATTGTGCTGTGGCTGAATTCATGAGCGAATCTGCTAACTCCCCCCTATTCACCCATGAGATTCCACATTCCTAACCTGTCTTCTTAATTATACGAGCATTGCTATGAATCCCCTGATCAAGTGCATCAATCTAATTTAAACAAAAGAACAGCTAAAGGTATTCTACTTAAGCAGCACAGTTGCATTGTAATGGCCATCACAAACTAGGTAGATAGCCGATGCTATATTTTAATCCAAGCCATTTCAGTGAAAGGAGTGTATATGCAGTTTGCAAAGGTGAGAGCAAGGAATTTCTGGCTCTCTGTAAAATAAAATTGCATGTTCTGTACTGCGTACTGTGCTATATTTGACTCACATGTTCACAGGAGCCTTCACTACAGAACTGCAGCATTTCTTGAGTATCTGCAAAAAAGTGTTGCACCCTTTCATACCTCGGGTAGATTAATCACAGGCGTCATCTGAAAAAAAGAAAAATTATTTTCTTCACTCTCCTTGCACAGCCAGCACATCTGTGAATTTTACGATTTTAAAATTTCGTGGGTTGGGAGGTGTGCATAAGCCTTGACTCGATGAAGTCACTGGCGCTTGCTAGCCGTTTCACTTAATTAAGAACTTCATCAACCCTCAAATGTAAGGCACTCACACTAAGAACACAGCATGTATTAAAGGGCATCAAAAACTTAAATATTGATTTTATAAGCAATTATAGTATACAGTGAGCCCTCTGGGCATGTTTTATTCTTTCATGAAAGTGGCGAACATTTTTAACAGGTCAGTAAATGCCCATTAGACACCACCGAAACCCAGCAAACCGTATTTTTTCTATACAATTTCCATAATTACACTCTCCTTACACCTGAAAACCCCTCAAGCTCAAATTCGTATTCAGATCACTTTGCTATAGCACTTTTCAGTGCATAAATAGGCTTTAAAAATATGTGTCAACTAATCATAAATAAGTTTATATATATATATATATATATATATATATATATATATATATATATATTATATATATATATATATATATATATATATATATATACCAGGTTCTTTGAACGTCATTCACGCTGGACCCCCCCGACCTATTGTAGGCAAAAAAGGGGGCGACGAAACTTTCGTGGAAGCGTCTTTACTAAACGTTTTCAGCTGGTGGACCAGCCTTCGTCAGAGTAATGTGACAACAGTTCATACATGGCTTTAAAAGCTCCTTTCAATAACAAGTCAGCGCCATCTGCTCTGGTTAGCATTACAATGCGCATCATAAAATGTCAAGTACTTCAGAAAAATAAGACAAAAATACGAAAACCAGAAGGGTACATACATACTAAAGACATAGTTAAAGATTCCCTTACATGTAGAGTGACGTGATACCATGCTTATACGTAGTTAAGAGATGTAGATGTGTAATGACATTGCTTGGCAGCATAAGAACAATCTTAGTGATATGTGAACGTATAATGGAAGCCACTGTGAAATGATTGAAGATAATAAAAAATAAAAATAAAAAGGGCAGACAGAAGGCATGATTTAGGTGGTACAATTTGAAACCAGTGCATCATCGCTCTTAATCTATGGAAAGACAGGTCAGTTTTCCTTTGTTTTCGTTGATTCCAGCTGAAACAGTGTTAAATTTATGAATGAGATATGATTCGCGCAGTTCACGATCATGGCTGGTGCGGAATCCCGATTCGAGTATCGTGACTTTGAGGTTACTAAATGAGTGGCCGGGCATGTTCACATGCTTTGATAATGGAAGGTTTGGTTGGGTTTTAGCATGCGATCTGTGATTGTTGAAACGTATTCTGCTTGGGGTTTCAGTGTGGCCTATGTATTGCATATGGCAGGTGCCACACTCAAGTAAATACACTACATTGAATGAATCACAATTAAAGCTTCCCCTAATTGTGAAAATGAATTGGTTAGATGTGCTGGTGGCTGTTAATGACGGTTCTATGTGAGGACAAACTTTACAACGGGGTTTGTTGCAGCGGCTACAACCAGTACGGTTAGTAGTAGCAATTTTAGATGACGTCAGGATGTCACCTATGTTTTTTGAGCGCCTATACACTACTCGAGGGGGTTCAGGAAAGACCGCTTTTAGTCTGTCGCTTTGGGTGAGGATGTTGTAATGATTACGCAGTATACCTTGAACTTTGGGGATGGACGCTGAGTGTGTTAGTACTAAATTGGCTGACTGAAGCCCGTTGCTTTTTACGCTACCTTTTAAACAGTCCATTCGATCGCGTCCTCTGGCTCGGTGTATCGCGTCGTCAATAATTTTTTCTGGATATTTTCGCTTAAGAAGCTTCTTTTTCAGATCATGGCAGCAAGAATTGAAATCTTGATCTTCAGAGCATATGCCCCTAAAGCGCTGTGCCTGGCTATACGGAATTCCAGTCTTCCAATGACGCACGTGGCTACTTTCAAAATGAAGAAACTGCTGATTATCGGTTGGCTTTTTAAAAAGCTTCGTAATTAGGCGTCCATGGGAAATGGTAATCCTGACGTCGAGAAAGGCTATAGACAAGGGTGAGTAAGTATGGGAGAATACTGGGAATTCGAAGTTATTCAACTCGAGAATTCAATGGCTCTCATTACGTACAGATCAGTGGAACATCGATGGGTACAAAGATAGGCCCTACATACGCAAACATCTTCATGGGAGTGCTCGAAGACTCGTTTCTTAAGAGTGTGCCACTAAAGCCTGAGCATTTCAAACGCTACATCGATGACATATTTTTTATTTGGACACATGGTGAAACAGAACTTCTAAACTTTATAGCTAAATTCAACCAGGTACATCCCGCTATAACATTCTCCCATACTTACTCACCCTTGTCTATAGCCTTTCTCGACGTCAGGATTACCATTTCCCATGGACGCCTAATTACGAAGCTTTTTAAAAAGCCAACCGATAATCAGCAGTTTCTTCATTTTGAAAGTAGCCACGTGCGTCATTGGAAGACTGGAATTCCATATAGCCAGGCACAGCGCTTTAGGCGCATATGCTCTGAAGATCAAGATTTCAATTCTTGCTGCCATGATCTGAAAAAGAAGCTTCTTAAGCGAAAATATCCAGAAAAAATTATTGACGACGCGATACACCGAGCCAGAGGACGCGATCGAATGGACTGTTTAAAAGGTAGCGTAAAAAGCAACGGGCTTCAGTCAGCCAATTTAGTACTAACACACTCAGCGTCCATCCCCAAAGTTCAAGGTATACTGCGTAACCATTACAACATCCTCACCCAAAGCGACAGACTAAAAGCGGTCTTTCCTGAACCCCCTCGAGTAGTGTATAGGCGCTCAAAAAACATAGGTGACATCCTGACGTCATCTAAAATTGCTACTACTAACCGTACTGGTTGTAGCCGCTGCAACAAACCCCGTTGTAAAGTTTGTCCTCACATAGAACCGTCATTAACAGCCACCAGCACATCTAACCAATTCATTTTCACAATTAGGGGAAGCTTTAATTGTGATTCATTCAATGTAGTGTATTTACTTGAGTGTGGCACCTGCCATATGCAATACATAGGCCACACTGAAACCCCAAGCAGAATACGTTTCAACAATCACAGATCGCATGCTAAAACCCAACCAAACCTTCCATTATCAAAGCATGTGAACATGCCCGGCCACTCATTTAGTAACCTCAAAGTCACGATACTCGAATCGGGATTCCGCACCAGCCATGATCGTGAACTGCGCGAATCATATCTCATTCATAAATTTAACACTGTTTCAGCTGGAATCAACGAAAACAAAGGAAAACTGACCTGTCTTTCCATAGATTAAGAGCGATGATGCACTGGTTTCAAATTGTACCACCTAAATCATGCCTTCTGTCTGCCCTTTTTATTTTATTTTTATTATCTTCAATCATTTCACAGTGGCTTCCATTATACGTTCACATATCACTAAGATTGTTCTTATGCTGCCAAGCAATGTCATTACACATCTACATCTCTTAACTACGTATAAGCATGGTATCACGTCACTCTACATGTAAGGGAATCTTTAACTATGTCTTTAGTATGTATGTACCCTTCTGGTTTTCGTATTTTTGTCTTTTTTTTCTGAAGTACTTGACATTTTATGATGCGCATTGTAATGCTAACCAGAGCAGATGGCGCTGACCTGTTATTGAAAGGAGCTTTTAAAGCCATGTATGAACTGTTGTCACATTACTCTGACGAAGGCTGGTCCACCAGCTGAAAACGTTTAGTAAAGACGCTTCGTCGCCCCCTTTTTTGCCTATATATATATATATATATATATATATATATATATATATATATATATATATATATATATATATATATATATATATATATATATTTTAATTAAACCATAATTTAAGAGTAGCTGTTTAGTTCATACTGTTAAATAAATCATGGTAAACCCACAGATAATTTTCACCCCATTTAACAGTATACTGCTAACCCCAATACATAGCCTTCATAGAGTACGAAAAGGGGATTGACTCAGTTGAAACACGAGCAGTGATGCAAGCACTATGGAATCAGGGCATCGAGCAACCCTACATAAACATACTGGAAAAAAGTTCCAGAATATCCACAGCCTCAATAGTTTTTCATAAAGAAAGCGATAGAATCCCAATAAAGAAAGGGTAAGGCAGGGAGACGATTTCTCCAATGCTATTCACCGCATGTTTACAGGAGTTTTTCAGGGCCTTAGACTGAGAAGAGCTAAGGAAATCAATTAATGGAGACTATCTTGGTAACCTGTGATTTACTGATGACATTGTTCTGATGAGTAACTCAGGAGATGAATTACAGCTCATGATTACAGAACTGGACACAGAAAGCAGAAGAGTAGGTCTGCAAATAATATGCATAAAACTAAAGTGCAATAGTCCCGGCAGAAAACAGTGCTTTGGGATTGATGGAGAGATGCTGGAAGTAGTAAAGGAACATGTTTAGTTATGAAGAGGTAGTTACTGCGGAGCGCAAGAATGAGAGTGAAATAACGAGGAAGAATAAGTATGAAATGGATCACATTTGGCAAGCATTCTCAAATCATGAATGGTAATCTACCACTAACCCTCAAGAAGAAGGTATACAGTAGCTGTATCTTGTCGGTACTTACCTATGGAGCATAAACCTGGAGGAACACAATGAGAGTTCAGCTTAAACTGAGGACGATGCAGCGAGCGATGAAAAGGACAATGATAGGTGTAACCTTAAGAGACAAGAAGAGAGCAGAGTAGGTCACGGAACAAAGAGGGGTTAAAGACATAACCATGCACGTAGCACGTAGGCAGGGTAACCGCTGGTCATTAAGGGTGACCCACTGGATTCCCAGAGAATGCAAGCGGATGAGGGGGAGACAGAAAGTTAGGTAGGCAGATGAAACTAAGAAGTTCGCGGGTGTAATGCGGCAGCAAGCACAGGACCAAGTTGACTGGCAGAACATGAAAGAGGCCTTTGTCCTGCAGTGGGCTTAGTCAGGCTGATTATGATGAACAGTATCTCAATTGTGCCCTCCCAGATGGCACAGGCACCTTCTAATACAAATCCAAGAACATGGCCTTTAACATTTTTTGCTGCTCCAGCGAGTCTTGGTGTCAAAGGCTGAGGGCCACTCCATAAAGAGGTACTGACACAAAATCTTTGGCCTCGCATTTTTCTGCGCCAACGCGTTGCTGGGAACTTGTTAGTCATAACACGAACATCGTTTGCTGCAGCGCGTGACAGATAACTAATTACAGGCCCCTTATTATCAACCACTTTCGGTTTGAGAGAGCTCCAAAAACGAGATGCCGCTGGGTGCAACTACCGTCACCTAGTGAGTGCAACTCACGACCACGGCAGCACACAGAACTGTGACACACTTCCCCGTGGTCCGCATCAAGATCACTTTTGAATAGGAAATGGAACTGCTTTGTCGTGAAACACGCAAACTTTTCAAAGTGTGCGCCACGGCCACGCACTCGCGACCACCCGCTGAGACGCATAGACTGCGGGAACAAACGTGGCAAAAGAAAATGGTGGCTATGATGTCACCACAATTTGTTTTATTGACTTCAGCATAGTGACGTGAGGAAATAGGGGGTCTCCAAAGGGCCCCATTCGCGGGTGTTATTGGCACAATAGAGTCAAGAGCTCGCGCAAACTTCAAAATTAATTATCAATACCTTCCAACTTGTATTCGCTGTTGATATTTTGCAGATGATATATGAATGTTCATGGGAATCGACCCGGCAGGCTATCTGGGTTATGATATTTTGTTTCAGTACCCCTTTAATCAATGTTCCTTGTTCTTTATAACGTCCAACAAGCAGTAATTACAGCATTTATTGAGTTTTGGTATCGATAGCATATATGCTTGCTAGCTTTCATGGCACGTTCACCTGTACATTAAATGCGAGGTATTGAAGCAGCTGTTGTGTCCCATTAGGTGGCACTTGTGAGTCTGTTCCCTACCTAGTACTTCTGCTGTGTCCTTGTGTGTTTTGTGTATCAAAACTAGATAATAATAATAATAATGCAATATTATGTGCTACGGGTATGCTATAGAGTTGATCCCTGATATATCGACCTCGTAGGGGATTGCGAAATAGTTCGATATAAGAAATATGCATATGTGAGGCTTATATTATTGTGTAGCAACTCTTGAAACGGCTTTTGGAAATCGTAATAGTCGTTAGAGCGTTAACATGATGATTTGCTCAAAGCATGCTTTATAAATGTTGACAATTTCTTTTGCATATTACTGCTCTTTATTTCGCGTGAGAATAGTCTGTAGACTCGTTTTGCTCTTTGGGCAACGTCATGTTCATTATTCATCCTCATTAATAGACCAATGAAGCTTTCAAAATAAGCAAATTCAGCCCTTTCAGCCACAACAGCAGTCATTGATGCCAAGCGTCGATACGAGCTCTGTAGCACAATAAAATGTTGTTTAGCAGCAGCGTTAGCATCTTCATAACCGCATGGGTCCACGTCCGCGGTGCCGGCAATGTCAGCCGTGACATCAGCATCGATGCAGTCAGAAACAGCGACGTCATTATCTGTACTGATGAAGTTGCTTCCTGTACTCCTGTCAGAGGTGGTCCCTGGAAATGCCAATAATTATCAAAATTCACAGAGACACCATACGCTGTTTGTTGTCAGCTAAGATGACACACACTAAGTCGTCATCTGTCAGCAAAGCCCAGGAGGAAACTGTACGTCAGCGCCTTCTTTGACGTCATTCCAAGCAGCAGTCATCATTTTTATCGCTGCAAGTGACGTAATGTTTAGTTTGACTCTCGATGGAAGATTGAACCGTAATGAGGCGAGAACTACTGAAATGCAAAAGACGAAAGTACCACTGATATCTTGGCGGTGACACTTTGGGCTTTGTAGCAGCAAGAAAAAGCATAACCAACGAGATGTGTATTCTATAACCAAAAATGTCAATAATATGTCCCTAAGTCGTGGATCTCGAAGGCCAAGCTTTTCGGGCCTGTATGGCATCATGCCTGTGCAAACTAGGAAGGAAATACGCACATCGCAGTGAGGCTGCAAAGTCACTTTGCATTCATGTGCTTTTCATGTCCTCGGCAATTTGCCTCTTTCAAAACAATGGGTTCACGCTTTGCAACCTACAACAGATCGCACCTCATGCGCCAGTGCACTGACGAACGCTGCGTAACCAACAAATTACGCCACCTTTAGCATGCGAGAAGAGATCGAAACTTGTTAGAACACGGCCGAAAAATGAGCAATTTTTGTCAGAATAAATGCATTTTCTGGTGCTTTGGTCCGGCGCTGTGCTCGTTATAATTGATATAATTTTACTTTCAAGCCTGGTGTGCTGGGCATTCTCAATACATGCATGCTGAAAAAACATTGTAGACACCAGGAATAAACAGAACTCAGTAAAAGAAAATTATATGCTTAATAAATGATGCATGAGGGAAACAGAATGTAGTTCTATTGAAAAATATGTATATTGTATACTACTTTTTTTCCGTTTGTTATCTTGCACCAAGCTTTCCTGCTTACGTAAATTGTTGTGAATTTAATCGCCGTGTTCTCATTCAGGTGAAGCTGATTGACACCCTACAAATGGCCGAGAAACATAGCCATAGCCAGACGCCACTGAACCAATTTAGGAAACTTCTTGGTAAGGAATTTCTTACGTTTGCCCAACGTTAGCCACAGCGGACCTGTTATGCTTGGTTCATCTGTGTGGAGAGTTCCCCCAGCTTTGGGCAGCTAGGGGGACTACATGTATTCTGCTCCTTGTTTGGGATGCGGCTTTGCCGAATCCACATGCACAGATTAGCGAATCGGCACAATATCTTGTGTTGAATTGTGCAGTCTTTGTCGTGTTTCATTGAATGGCAGTATCCTGAAAGGTCCTCAAGTTAAAGGCAATAGTATTAGTTGACAATTATATTTAACCAATTACCATTAATAAAAGTCTATATAATTAGTGGTGTAATTGTATTCAGATCTAGTTAGAATGATTAGTAGTTTGAATGATTCTTCTTTCTCTTATCTGGGGTAACATTTTCTGTGAAAATTCACTGTTTGGAATGTGTTCTTTGACTTCTAACAGACGTCGAAGTTCTTATCCAGCTCAAGATATTTCAACGATGCACTCAACTGTGACCTACCTTTGAGATGCTCCTGTTTTGCCTTTTTTCTCACATAATTTGTTGAGCCAGCTTACATGAACTTCTTAATGTATGCTGGAGATTGCTTTGAAATAGCCAACCAGAACTTGGACCTTTCCTTTTGCAGTGTGTGATGTGGCTCCTCTTGTCCTAAAGATGGGCGTGGAGCTCCCAGTCAAGCAGACATATAGGCTCATCCATAAATGCATAGAATTCTACACAATGTTCATCTATGCACCAAACAGGAACAAGCTCGACTTATTCATGAAGCCAGGGTAAGCAGAGCACTCGTCTTTGTATTACGTGTTTTATTTAGTGTGTGCATTATGCTGCTCGAATGATTAAAGTGCGGCTATTTAGCGGTAAGGTTGTGCTTTCATTTTCAAATGTCAGTTGCTGAGCCGCTGTGGGGGAATGTTTCATGCAGCCTCGAAGGTGGTGGAGGAAGCGGCAGCACCGAGAGTGGCTGTGGCACTTCGGAGGCCGAGCTGTGGCGGCAGCTGTTCTCGTTTATGTTGTGTGCTGGGCGGCGCCTACGTTGGGAGCTGTCGGAGCTGCTGCAGGAGCCCCTGCCACTGCTCCAGGAGAGCCACTGGCAACACATTCGTGCCCTGCTGCGTGCACGGCCACCACCACCTCCAACCGACCTCAGTGCAGGTGCCGCTGCTATGGACCCCGAAGAGCTCGTGGCTACACACAAACAGGTTTGTTGGCCCCCATGTCACATGAGTTGCACGAGGACGCATGGCTTTTGTGCTCTGCATTAGCACAGGCCTCGGAATAACATCAGAGTACGATGCTGCAACACAGAAAGCGTGTCTTTACGTTAGACATGACATTCCTGCCGAACCCACCTGTTAGATTAAATCAAGTGAACTTGACATGGTCATAATAATCATGACTGTTTTTTTTCCTCCTGAAACAAGAAGATCCTAAACTAAATAAGTGGGAACAAAAGCAACAACAGGTGTGTTTATGCCAAGCGACGAGCGTATGACTAAACATTGCTTGTTGGAGTCATTTTCTGTCTCTAACAAAGTAATCCGCTCGTAAAAAAAATTACCATTCTTTGCAGTAAAGCTTTCCTTTGGGCAAGTTGGTGCAATCTTGAACATATATTTGGGTTGCGCAAAAGAAAAAAAAAAAACACTGACAAAGGAATGTGAACAGGACAGTGGGGTTCTTTCTTTCACAAGTGCAGCAAGGCTCTAGTATTCTTGTGTTAAAGGAGTGTGACACCTGTCTAAATTTCTTTTTTGTCGTCCACTTTCAAGGACAAGGAAGAGTGATTGCATAATTTAGCAAATCGCCTAGTAAATATAAGTTCTCATGAGTGCCAATTTGTTTATCAAACAATGTAATTGGAGTATTGTTCAAAGTTCTTCCTTTTCGTACTGTTAATTGAGAAATCACTTATGTTGCCTTATTGAGTGTTGCTTTGGGTTGCTTTTTTTATCTACAGTGCACGCTTGGTTACTTTACGTGTTAATACTAGTATTCTTCTACATGTTGATCTGGTTAATCAGATTGTAACTGTCTTGTCTGGCACGGACTAAGATGTTTATAAATGATTGAACAAAAAAGCATATATGAAAGAGCAAGTGCTTGATTTAGCGCAATGTACATAAGTATTTTGAGGAGGAGAACTTTATGTCGCACTCATATTTGCACTAAATACCTCCGGAGCTTGTAGCCTCACATGTGTTTATTCCACATTCAGTGGCTTAATGTGATGATGCAAAAACAAGTGACGGTCCCCCGCAGGGGCGCCTGCGCAAGTAGGCGTTTGGTGTGTAGCGACACCACGGGCCCGAGCTAATGGAGGAGTTTTGGCTCCCTCCCACGCCTAGCCGTGCGTGGCTTTGCCGTGTCCGGGGAAAAGAGGATCCTTGGGGTTGAGCCGACGCTGGGTGCTTGGACCTTTAAGGCCCCCCGGCAGAAGCAACACAACCCTTTGGCCCCGGCTTCACGTAGACGGCACCCCTGGGCTGACCCACCCAGGGGAAATCGGCAGTCGCCTTTTCCTATTTCTCTCTCCCTACATCTTCGTCTTTATCGCCCACTTCTTACCTGTCCTGTCGTTTTCTCTTCTCCGTTTACTTCCAAATTTCTTGGCGGCTAGGGTTAACCCTGGGGGACTGACCTACCTTGGTCAGGACCACTGGGTTATAGTAGCAATGTATGGCTAACGTGTGTATACGTTCCCCTTGTTGGACTCTATGGTGGGTGGCCAGCATAGCTACCGAATGAACATGCTTTTCTATGGAAAAAAGTACCCCCCCCCTTTCCACAATGATCGGTCCCGTAAAAGGGGTCGCACCGAAGCAAATAGAAACCTTCTGACTAAAGAGAGCGATTACACGAAATTCTTTGTAGTAACGTCATTGACTGAAACTAAGATTCAGGACATATCACCATTCCCGATTGCAAAAGCAATCAAAGAATGCATTGGAAGCAATTACAGTGCAAAAAAATGAATTCAGGAGATCTCCTCATAGAAGTGAAAAACAAAGAACAAAGTGACAAAATTAGACACCTTGGAAAAATCGGACAACATGAAGTCCGTGTAACAGCTCACCGATCTCTCAATTACACGCGAGGAGTAATATCGGACAATGAACTGCTCAAGTGCGCTGACGCAGAAATTGAGGATGCTTTAGCGGATCAAGATGTACTTGCCGCACGAGCAATCATCATTCGTAGAGATAAGAAGGAAACCCGCACAAGGAATGTAATACTAACATTCGCAAGCACGACGCTTCCTGCTGCAGTTAAGGTAGCGTACCTTTACCTACGTGTGAGGCCCTACAGTACCTAATCCTCGCAGGTACTTCCGGTGCCAGAGGTTTGGGCACGGGTCTCATTCATGTCGTGGTAGTCCAACCTGCATGAAATGCGGCCAGAATGAACATGATGATGGCGAGTGCACTAACCCTTTAAACTGTGTGAACTGCAAGGGGCCTCATGCAGCGTACTCACGCTCCTGCCCAGAATGGCAAAAAGAAAAAGACATGCTTACACTGAAAACCAAAGAAAACATACCGTATCCAGAAGCGCGGAAGCGAGTGGTTCTTGCCCAAAAGGGCACTTACGCTGAAGCGGTGCGAAGGGGGAAGGCACCGCCGACGGTCTCTTTAGGCACACAGGTAGAACTCCAGGACCTAGTGGCCACGGTCCGTCCCCCAGACAAGATCGAAAAAAAGGCACCAAGTGCCTTTTTTTCAGGGAGGCCCAAAGCCTTGACCAGTGTTGGTGCCAGCCAACCTAATGTCGAGGCAAAAGAGGTCTCAACAACGGTGCCGAGTAGCCAGCCTCCCTTGAGGAGGTCGGCATTCTCGCCGGACACCAACACTGTTGAGCACCCTGGTGGTGCTGAGTCCATGGACGTGAGTCCATCGGACACTGAAAGCCTGACAGACCCTGCTACAACCAGCAGGGCGATCAGGCAGCCCATCATTCCTCCCTGCCAAGGAGGGAAAGGGAGCCGAAACGCAATTTAGGCCCCACAAAAAAAGAAGTAACGAAGCACACTGATAGTGTCGCTTTTTAGCTTATGCACATTAAACTCAAAATACTAAATTTTATACACATCATTTCACGTAATGGCATAGATCATCTATTAGAACTGCCGAGGCATGACACGAAACTTAAGTGACATTAAGGACATATTTACAAGCTTCTCTTCTGTAGCGTTATGCTTGCAGGAAACGAATCTGGGACCAAAAAACACCAAAATACTAAAAGGTTACACTGTTATACGCCGCGACCGCTCGCAAAGCAACTGGCTGTCAGGCGGCGTCGCCATTGTTGTCCAAAGTGGTATTGTGGTAAGATAAGTTATAGTTAACACTTTTATTGAAACAGCTGCAGTCACCATTTTATCACATAAAACTATCACTATTTGTTCCATATACATTCCACCTCATACACATTTTACTGTAAAAGATCTAGAATTGATTGCAGAACAGCTACCTAAACCTTTTTTAATGGCAGAAGATTTCAATGCGCACGACATACTATGGGGTAGTGTAAAGACAGGCAGTAGAGGGCAGGTAATTGAAGGTTTTATTCTTACTAACAATGTGTGTCTTTTAAACACTGGATCACCAACATACTGCTCTCCAGGCACAGGAACCATGAGTTGCTTGGATTCGGCACTGTGCTCTAGCTCACTGTTTGCTGATTTTACATGGAAAACAATAAACAATCCTTACGGTAGTGACCATCTACCGTCGATTGTAAAACTAACATCACCACTTCCGACCATACGCTCTCGACCACAGCGTTGGAAGCTTCACAAAGCTAATTGGCCTTTGTTCACACAGAGAGCTAATGTACAGGATGAGTTTTCTGAACACCTAACAATAGATGAAATAAATGACAAGATCACCGATTGCATACTGTCTGCGGCAGAGCAAGCTATTCCCCAGTCTTCAGGACTAGTGGGAACAAAGCTAAAGCCATGGTGGACCAGTGAGTGTGCAAAAGCCTAAAAACTACAAAATAAAGCATGGTGCAACTTCCATAGGTACCCCACATGTGACAACCTCCTTGCGTTCAAACAAGCTAAAGCAAAAGCACGATATATTCGTAGAAATGCAGAAAAATCGTCCTGGCAGAAGTACATATCTACAATCAATAGCACAACCACACCCAAGAAAATGTGGAACCAGGTTAGAAAATTCAGCGGCGACTATTCCTCATACGCGATACCCATACTTACAGACCCAGGCACACAGACATCTCTAGAGGAGCAGGCGAACATTTTAGGCGAACACTTTTACACTATATCCGGTTCCGCTAATTACACGCCATCCTTCCTGGCATACAAACAGACAACCGAAAAACAAAAACTACCCGTAACCGGTGGCCTAGATGAGCCGTACAACGCTCCCTTGACACTCCAAGAGTTAAGCACAGTGCTTTCGGGGGGAAAAAAGACAGCAGTCGGTCCAGACAGAATTCATTACGCAATGCTCGCGCACTTGTCTCAAGCTGCCGTGCAAACATTATTAAAGTTTTTTAACATGATTTGGAAAGCTGGCAAAATGCTCGCAAAATGGAAAATGGCAACCATAGTACCATTTCTAAAGACTGCAAAACCACCGACTTTACCGGGTAGCTATAGACCCATAGCACTTACAAGCTGTATGGCAAAAGCATACGAAAGCGTAATAAACAGAAGACTAACATACACCCTTGAAGTAGACAACCTACTAGATGATCATCAGTGTGGGTATAAGAAAGGCCATTCAACGATCGATCATCTTGTTCGTCTCGAACACACAGTGCGTGAGGCCTTCTTGCATATGCAACACTGCCTAGCAGTGTTTTTTGACCTGGAGAAGGCCTACGACACCACGTGGAGGTACGGTATACTGAGAGACCTGGTAAATCTCGGAATACGCGGAAGAATGCTTAATTGCCTCTCTGACTTTCTATCAAACCGAAACTTCCAGGTACGGTTGGGCTCCACACTATCGCGGGTTTTTGTCCAAGAAAATGGTGTGCCGCAGGGTTGCGTGTTGAGCACTACACTGTTCGTAGTCAAAATGAATTCAGTTAATGAAGTAATCCCACCCTCGATCATGCACTCATTATATGTTGACGACCTTCAGATAGCATGTCGGGCCTCAAGCATATCCACATGTGAAAGGCAGCTGCAGCTAACCATCAACAAACTGACCAAATGGGCAGATCAAAATGGCTTTCGCTTTTCTACCCAGAAAACCGTTACCCTACTTTTCTCACAAAAGCGCGGCTTGTATCCGGACCCTGTTCTTAAAATCAACAACAGTGTACTGCCACTCAAGTCAGAACACCTGTTCCTAGGCCTAGTCTTTGACAGGAAACTAAACTTCATTTCCCACATGAATTACACAAAAAAAGAAAGCAAACAAAGCGCTCAACATCCTGAAAATACTATCGTGGAAACACTGGGGTGCCTATCGAGTCTGCCTTTTACGCATATACCGCTCGATCGTTCGCAGCATACTTGACTACGGCAGCGTTATTTACTGTTCAGCCAGAAAATTTTACCTCAAACGTCTTGACCCAATACATCATCATGGATTGCGCTTGGTGACTGGAGCGTATAGAACCTCACCTGTCCAGAGCTTATATGCTGAGAGCAACGAGCCGTGCCTAGAACAAAGAAGAGCGCTACTTACTGTATCCTATGTTTTAAGAATCAGATCGAAACCAAGCCACATATGTCACACTATTGTCTCTCACATCGGTACCAGAATACAGTACAACAACAGACCGCACACGATAAGACCACTTCTCCTGCGCTTTGAAAAAATATGTCTAGACTACAAAGTACAGAATCAGGCACTAAGCGTTGTCCGAATGCCGGAAGAACTGGCTCCATAATTGAACTTTTCGCACTACACTGACTTTGCCTTAACTAATCTAAGGAAGAAGGAAACTCTATGGGAACAAATTATCCAGGATTTCTTAGCCATACAAAAAAAATATAACACACACTCTGAATACTACACAGATGGATCAAAAACACAAGAATATACAAGAAGTGCTGTCATATCAAAACACTCAGAAACATGTATAAGACTGCCACCATTCATATCTATCTTCACAGCAGAAGTATATGCTCTTTTGATTGCTCTCGAAGAAATTTTATCAAGAAATCACAAAAAAGCTGTCATATACACTGACTCACTTAGCGCATTAAAAGCCCTACATTTAAGGTCGGAAAACGAACCGTTTCTCGGGGACATTTTACACAAGCTAGAAAGAGCTGAGAAAAATGGCAAGACAATCCGGCTTGTATGGGTGCCGAGCCATGTTGGTATCCCAGGAAACGAAAAGGCAGACAGGGTAGCAACAAGGGCAGGTCATCAAAGCATAGCAGAAATAAGGGCACCATTCAGAGACTGTTTCAACAGTTGTCGGACAGCCTTTAGGGCAAAATGGCAAGAAGAGTGGCAGGCTCAAGTGCATAACAAGCTTCAAATTATCAAGCCTATTCTACAAGAATGGAAGTCTTGCAACCACCAAAAGCGCTTCATCGAAGTAACACTATGCCGCCTGCGTATAGGTCATACTCACCTAACCCACAACTTTTTATTGCGCGGAGAAGATCAGCCAGAATGCAAACATTGCGAGGAACCTCTGACTATCAATCATATTTTAATAACATGCCCAGTCTTTGAAAAAAGCAGACACATTATTTTAAACAGTTTTACAGAACACAAACACCTTTACATCCAATGTTAATACTATCAGAAAATGCACCCATCCCCATACAGGATGTTTTTAGGTTTCTAGACGCCACAGGTCTTCTAAACAAAGTGTAAACAGAAATTTGTTTTTCACCTCACATTTTAACCCTATTATCATAATCACCCAGTGTCTGGCGCATCATAGCCATTGTTGCTTTTGCGCCATAAAACCCAACGTAACTAACTAACTAACAAGTGACGTTCATTTTTTCATAGCCTGTTTTTTTTTTCTTCTTCTTCTCCAGGTCTTCTACTGTGTCATTGTAATATTCTTGCATGCGCTCTACAACTATGGGAAGCACATCAACCCTTCCTGGTTCCCAGGTATGCATAAAATTTGACGGTTACCTTATTTCTTGTTTGATCAAGTGATTTCTTGCTTTTGAATGAGTGAGTTAGTGAGTGATCGTGAGTGTGTGTGTTTGTATCTTTGTTGCATAGGTCAGTAGACTCATGCGTAAATAGGCAGGTGGGCTTATAAAAGAAACATTTTTCTAGATTTTTGTTACATGAATTTTAAGCCTTTGACAGAATCCTGCTTCAAGTGACAGGTGAATTTCATCTATCTTGCACTTCTAAACATGCAAAAATGGATCAAGATTGGTTGACCAAGGCCTGATCTGACGAATTTCTGGGCTTCAATGTTAAAAGTATAAAACAGCGATTCTCGGCCATGTTTTGGGGCCCCTGTAAACTGGTGGAACTGATGAGCGATTCTTGCAGTGAAAGAGATGGGAGGGCTCATAAATAAAGAGAGCATTCAGCGTGAAATAGGTGCTTTTATTTCTTCCTGGCAAAGAATGGTCAAACTAAAGTGCCGCACCAATTGCATCTAAACTTGGTCAATAAGTTGTATCGTCTGCAACCACCTGCAACCTTTTTCCAGCTATGTCTGTTCTTCAAATATGCAAGCCTAGAAAATGTATGCTCGCGTGCATATGTAATAGAAAACTGCAAGAATAACTTTACAGTCATCTCATGGAGAATAGCAAACATAATTCAGGTCCACCGCAATGCAAAATTGTCATGCAGCAAAGCATACGAAAAATTAGAAGAGGTTGCTATCAAGGGAATAAAGTGTACACTGTAAACAGAAATAAGCCGAGACGGAAGTAAATGACTTGTCCTCTAGCGCACGCCCCGATGGGGGTTTTATAAACACCGTCCGGAGAGAGTAAAAAATGTACTCCCCATCAGTAAGGGGCTTTTGCATGGTGCCAGGGGGGGTTTTATTTACATTCATTGGAAAACTTTTTGAGGTCAGTATGGGAGTGAATTTTTGCATCAACCGAAAAAAAAAAAAAATTACGTCAGCAGCCGTACCATGCGCAAGCGTAATTTTAATTGCATTACCTTCGAAGCACACAATAAGGATTACAGTGCACAAACATACACACAACGTTCACATACTGTTACAACACTCACACTCACCACAGCTTGCCACCCGCGCTGCGCACCTACGATTCAGTCACCGAGTATATATAAGCACCATATTCTGAAAGGGACCCCTTTTTTTTTTTGCTAGTAATTAAGCAATAAACACGCACGGCGTAGGTATGAAGTTGCAGTGGCCTGATGTAAGCACTTCAACACACATGCCTTTTATCCTGAGCCTGCCTAATATTCAATAATTTTTTAACTATAGCGAAAGGCTTTTATCAGTTGGCGCTCTGTCGTATGGGCTGAATTCACATTAGCAGTACCGTTTGTGAAACGTAAAATGCACTGAATTATACACAATCCTTAGTGGCCTTGAATGAACACATCAACGAGGCACATTAAGCAGCTCCAGCGATGAACCAAGGTAGAATGGCACTGCCGCGTTCGACGACTAGGCCTCACTCACGAGTACGGCACGGCGATTCAATGAATGATAGCTGGCGATCACAAAATGCTTGCTGATGTGCAGTTTACGTCTATTTATTTTTCCCATGCACAGAAATAGGCGTCCATTATCCTTGCAGCTTGATCTACGGAGCAATAGACTTAAACAAAAGAGACGGTTCGCAGTCGCGGTTCCTGTTGGTCGCATGCAGTGCCTGGGCATGCATACTGTACACTGTTTCTGTGTGTCTCCGTCTTGTTAGGCGCTCGCCTTCGAGTTGGTCAATAGACAGCTGCAGTTGCAAGGCACAGAAGACTGTTATTCATCCAAGCACCCTTTATTTTTTGTAAAACACATTTTTTGCCTCGCCGGTAGTCGGTGCTAGCTCGTAGAGCTCGTTACAGCAACCGGCGCGCAGTGCGAGATCGCTACGATGCCGGCCTGATACCAACGGCGTTGCGAGGTCTTCTTACTGCTTAGATGTTGCAGCCAATTAAATACCAGTGACACTGCAAGAACCCACCATCGGTGGAGCCGGGACGAGCACGTCGCCGGCGCAACTCTCACACCGGTTGCCGGCCAGCCTGCGGTGATCGAGCGAAGCCTACTACTTCGGATCGCTTCGAAGTTTTACGGTGAAACTCCAGGAGCAATTGCTGACAATCATAACAGCTTACTTTCGCTACCATTAAGTTGTTCTTCGATATTTTTTGTAACTAGGCCCTTTGAAGCACAGCATTCGCGGCGTTTTGTTGAGGAATCGGACCGTTGTGCAGTGTTTTTCAACGGTGCGAAATATATTGAAATGCTCACAGTAAACACCAACCGGTCGTTGCAATTCTTCGCTGCACTTATAATTTTGTTGCTTGTCAACAGATGCTTACATGGTCAGCCACACAGAGCACTGGTGTTTCAAACCGACGTGCAAACATATGCACATACATACACACAAACACACGCAAACATGTCACGTCCAAAATGGGTTTTGAGTAACCACGTGACCTGAAACTTCTTGGGGAGTTTAACAAGGTCATGTCGTTCATAAACTCTGTCATTAAGCAAGGGGCATTTTACGACGACATGTGCTGAGTTCACTCCCTACCAGGAAGTAAATAATTGAGGCAGGGGAGTTTTGTGGGCTCATGTGCTGGAGAAACTCTTATCTCAGCTAACTTTTGCTTACAGTGTAGTACTTCGAAAAAAAAAATTACTTTTTGTTCTTTGAGGATGCGTTTTGCTTATCCCAAAAAATAGTATCATAGACCATGAGGGGGAGCGCAGAGGCAGCCCCAAACGTTGACGTAATATAAAGCGGGAGGGGGGAGGGGCGCTGCGACAAGCCTCGCCCTCCATCCCATTTGTGAAAATGAACCCTGCACACGCTTATGTACTTGATGGTTAACGCATACTACGTTTAGTGCGTAGTTTGCCCCATTTTAAGCAGGTTCGCGGCTTGTAAACGTATCAACAAGATTTAACTGTAATGAGCTTTTAAGGCGTCTGCTTGTGCGAGTGTGTTTGTGTGTGCACTGCAATGAACTTCATGCGGCAACTATAGCTCATTGGGGCAATATCCTACATTATCTTTTGTCACCGCTTCTTTACATAATTTAACTTTCATTCATTTTGTGGGCTTGCTGCTTCTCTATAAATGATTATGTAAACTGAGGGAACATTAAGCTAAATTAAAGCTAAATTTTTATCCTCTGTGTGTGTCATGGAAAGCACTTTTGTGCTTCAAACACAAAGGTAACTGCTCCTAAAGCAGGTTTTGCCTGGTCCAATGGCTGCTCTAAAATCCTAAAAGGCATTCCCACCACTGAATGTTTTCGTAAGGTGCTTTCAATTCTATGTGTATCAGTGAAAAATTATGTGAAGAACAATTGTATATACTTAGCTTTTTTTATATTTTCTTTAGGTACCACCAGTGACATTCAGTGCATTCTGTTAGAGGGGCCACGTTGGGTGAACCCAGCGCCTGAGCAGTAAGTGCAGTTCATGAATGAATGAACGAGTTAACTAACTCATTTCTATTCACTGTACCTGTGAGGGGCAGCTGTAGTTAAAATGTGACATGAGGTGGCAGGCTCCCAAGCATTACATTCCTTATGGAATGTACTGTAGACTCTCGCGAAGCGGAACCTCAAGGGACCAGAAAAATGTGTTTCATTGAACAGGAGTGTGGAATCTATGTACAAAATGACTGCATATTAGATGCAGTTGTTTCACTTAAGTAGCAGTTTCGTATAAGAGATTTCCATTTATTGAGAATCTACTGTATTACTATCACTAGAGTTCCATGTGACTTTATTCACTGAGTGGAGGCTAGAAGCTCATTGCAAAAATTGCTGAGGGCTGCAGTATACACTGCACCAACTTTATAAATGGCAAGAGGAAAGCTTATTTCTGTTCTCATTTATTGTCCCATACATAGAGCCTTTAAGGTGTCTTTAGGAGAACACACATACACACACAATGATAGAAGTGTAGCTTTAGGACGAATATTTTCGCTTGTTCTTGGTGAAAAATAATATTGCAATTGGTGACAGATAATATTACAATGAATATTGCAATGAATATTATCTGGTGACGGATAATATTGCAATGGGAATGTTCAATGATGCTTTAGTCAGATGCAGCATAGGCAGTAGAGGCCCCCCCCAGATAACTGCTGGGCGGGAGCTGTCGGCCACAATGGCTAAGGAAATGATCCTACTCAGGTACTTGGCGGGGTGGATAGCTATGGGGCTTACGACATCAGTCTAGAGTGCACACTTGTTGGTGCAGGCTTCTGTGCACCCGCCTTTGAGGTAGCTATCTATGCCTTATAAAGTTGTACCTGACCGTAGTGATTGGGATCAGACTATGCAGGTAACATGAATTATAATATCTGAAGTTTAATATCCCAAAATCGCAATGTGATTATGAGGGACACCATGGTGGAGGATTCCAGATCTACCGTCTGGCACTCTTTTTCGTGTACTGACATCGCACAATACGCGAGCCTCTAGCTTATCGCCTCCATTGAAATGCGGCTGCTGTGGTCAGGATCAAGCCCGCGACATTTCGGTAAGCAGCCGAGCACCATAACTGTTACACCACCATAGTAAATGGTGACAATGCAGGTGGTTCGAAAGGCTGTGGAAGGAATTGTGGAAAAGTGTCATGTTTCTATGTTTTGTTTTGTTTTGTGCTCTTGGAGTTGGTGTTAAGCTGCTAGAAAAATCTGCACTCTCTACTTTTTTTCTTTTTTAGGCCAAAGCACAAGAGAAGAAAAGTTGAGCCTGAGGCAAGTGTTAGTCATCCTTCCATACATTCCAGAGGACTCCAACTGAAAAAAATTAATTTTCTTGCGAGGCTGGATGTTCAAAATTAGAAAGCTACTTTGTTGACATGACTTTTTTGTGCTAATTGTGAGCTCTTACAGTGGCAACTCATTTCTGTGCACTGCACTGGGCTTTCATTGCAGACATCTATTGTGACTGTTTATTTGGGGGCTAATTGCATTGTTGTTTATGCGTAGCTTGCAAAGTCTCCATTTGCACTTGTAGCCTAAAGCAATACCTCGTTGTCCTATGAATATCTTTTCTACTTCTTTTCCTTATTTGCTTTCATCATTACTTGTTAGAAGTATTGACAGCAAAACACCCTGATGTCACTATTTGTATTTATGACTGAAACGTGGCCATGTTGGCACAGATTCTTGGCTATGTATGAGCAGTGCAATGCACAGTACTATACACAGAAGAGGCGAGAAGATACATGTGAGCATGTTACATTGACGAGCCCGAGAATTTCTACGTTCTGCACTCAATTACTACTCCTTCACCATCGCCGATGAACAGCATGAGCTATAGTGTAAATGTTCTAAATAAAGTGTATTAAAGGGAAGAAGTTTCTGTCATGAACAAGACCAGTAGTACCCTTGTTGAAAATGTTGCATCTTTAATCAATGGCACACACACACACACACTGGTATACGACATCTAAGCACAGCTCTCTATTTCTTGGCAGTACACGACTCTGCCATGGCTGCAGAATAGGCCAGAAAGATACTGTATAGATGAAGCCTATTCGTGCATTTCTGGGTGACACGGGAGGACAACGCTAGATTGCTGCAGTTAGGCTGTCTTAGGTTAGGTTGCACTCTGCTGCAAATCATAAGGTAATATTTTTGATTTCGAGGCATAGTGGCCATGTTTTAACAGGAGTGAAATGTGAAAACATTTGGGTGTATGGACATAAGTTTGTTTTAAAAAACTGCAGAAAGTCAAAATTGTTCTGGAGCCCCTTACTTTAAGCTGTGCATTGCTTTTGGGCAATGAACCACTTTTTTGAACTTGAGCATCTTTGTAGCAACTGGCCATGCTGTCTCTTTCCTTACTGAAAGATTATGTTCGCACAGGGAAAGGAGACTGAGCCACCTGCCCTAACTGTGAGCAAGTGCGTTCCGGCAGAATCAGCGGTTGTACTGACGCAGAGCTTCCTTACGGCTATTCGTTGCTGGTCCATTCTGCAGTATCTAAAGAAAGGCAAGTACTTCTGGCCTTTTCATTTCTTTCTTCTTCTTTTTTTTTTTTTTTTGCTGTTTGCAGAATAAAGACGACATGCAGCACGACGTAGTAGTGATACTTGTGAAGCACTTAGCTACTGATTGTCTTGAGGATTCGCTGCAATATGCTGTGGAACATTGCCCAATTGTCAATATAATAAATATTGCAGCATATCTACATCAAGCTCACAATTCTTGCTTTGCGAATAAGTGCCAGCTGTGATGAACTTTTCTGTCTTTTCCAGAACTGTCCCGGTTGTCACAACACATTCGTCTAGATGAGTGGCCTTGGTTCCAGTCCTTTCTTATAGAGTCGCTGATCTACCAGGTGTGTGTTTTGTGTTGTTTTGCCAAAGAAGTATGTGTCAGTTATCCGTAAACACCGATACCAATGAGCACAAAAAATAAGAACTGAAAAGCTTAATTTTTTTTACTTCTTCTGTAGTGGTTATTGTGCCGGACTGCTGACTCGACCATTGCAGGAGCGGCAGAAGTACGAGTACTTGGAAAGATATCATACAAGTGCTCTCAGTAACTTTTTCTGCAAAAATCGAATCAGTAGTGATGAGATGACCAAGAAGTAGAAGCACCTAGATACATAATGTGTTTTGTAATAAAAAAGAAAACAAAAACACTGGCTACCACTGGCTGCAACAAACAGTACCCCTGCAAGTTATAACTGTGCAGTGAATGGCATACAATGTGTACCAATAATATTTTTTATAAGGGTTTAAAAAGTTACAAGTATTGTGTCGGATATGATGATTGTGCTAATAATAAGGGCATTCTTTTTTTGTTGCATTGATCTTAATTCTATTTTAAGGCACTATGTAAGAAAGAAAGGTAGGCTACTTGTGAAAATGCCACAAGATCACTTATAAAAATGCCACAAGATCAGTTCTAACCAACATGGAAAAAGGTGTTGAATATTTACAGCATTTGCCGAGTATGTGCATATGTGACTGCGGCTTTGTTACACTATTCTCCAACTCCTAAATTGGGGCTAAGTATTCTCACACTTTGTACTGTAACATCACCTGGCATCTTACTGGGTCTCACTGAGCCTCTACATGCTGCTAAGCTAAAAAAGAGAGACGGTGTCGCGCTTTCATCTGGACAGTGCATTGCTGGACAGTGCATCCAGTGCACTGCTGGAGCCCTACAATTCATTTATCATGAATAAAGCCAGCCCACAGTTCCATTGGGAAGGTATCGTACTCTGGCAAGGTTTATGTGGCACTGTCAGTTGGATATGCTGTTCATCGTCGTAACCATTGTTGGAGGCAAACCATCATATATCTGCTAGGTTTCAACCCACCTCCTTCCTGAAATCAGGGTGATCCATGCATTGCACTACACGGCCATGAATCTGGTACTTATTAGTATGTTTTGGCGGCATCATATAGTACTTGCAAAATTAATATGCTCATTATTGCATTGTACCAATGACTTTGGTCTTTGAGTCATCCAGGATGACCCCAAGGCAAAGGTCACCTTCTGTGGCTATTTTTCGCGCACATTTTATCGCACATGCAGCATTCTCTTTTCTTTTTAAGTGACTCAAACTGCGCAGAGACAAAGTTTAGGTGCAGCGTGCAGGCATTCATCCACAGAGCACGCGGGTTGCCATGCGAACTTTATATAACAGGCAGGTTTGTCACTGGGTCACCCATCTGATGAGTCGCTTGAGGCTTTCACTTTAAAAATCTATTGTCACTCGAGTTCTTCAAAAAGAAGTAATGTCTCTTACATTCTTATTGTTTGGGAAGGGACGACAGACGACTTGCTTCTCTTTCACTCAGGACCAGCATAAAGAAGCCATTGCAAAGCTCTTCAGTGCAGCTGATGCAGCAACAGATCCAACAACAAAGGTATTCAATCCAGCTTATCTTCAAAGCTGTGTTTGTGAATTTTGGTCAAGGTAGTGTATATTACACTTCACGTCTCACCTAGCTTCATTGGAGAATACAATTTGCTTTTGTTTTTAGTTTTTTTTTTTCAAGGCATAAGAATGCACCAGATTTTCAGCTGTTCACCTTTAGCTCTGTAGGAGCTTCTTTGACATAACATTAAGTTAGAAACTGCCGGGTTCCTGTTTAGCTGCTTTCTGCTGATGCGGTATTCAAGTTATTGCACCATTTGGTCGGATATAATTGAGCAGTTCATGCTGGTTGTTGTACAAATGCTAGTGTTGACAAAGTGTAAGTAATAAAGTGTAAGTGTTGATGGCTGCAAGTAATACGATTTAATTGCTGACTTGGTGACGTTTTGAACCGAATACATTCATACCCATTTTTTTGCAGAACAAAGTAAACCTTCAGATGGCCAGCTGCTTCTATTCGTGTGGAGAGTCCTCAGTAAGTGACTAGAAGTGTAAGCTGTGTTGTATTGCTCACAGGCTCTTAAGAGTTCTCGAGCTTGGCTAGTGAATACGCATTCATTCAAGCAGCTAGTACTGTTAAATTGCACAGAAAATAAATATGGGTTCGTTCTTAAAAATATGGTAAATTCAATAACTGTCACTGCTTGCAGCTTGCTTTGCTTTTGGCCCTGTTCACACAATCTTTTATTTTATGTCTATAGCTTCTTGAAAGCAAATCAAGGGGTTCGTTCTCTTGATTGTAATGTTCACCCTTTTCTTAATGGACACTAATTACTGTCTACCCAGTGTCTAACTGTACAATCTCTTACACCTACGACAACTTTCTGTGGTGTGGATTTGTTTTGGTGAGGGTTAAATTGGGGCATGGGCAGCAGTGATATCGGCCACACGAAAGAGACTCATGGCTCATCCAGTCATGGTCAATAGCATTGTTTTTGTGCAGCAAAAAACGTGCAATCAACTGCATAATCAAAAAGAAATTTTCGGTTCTACTGGCAAAGCATTGCTGTAGTAATTGTATTGCTGAAGTTGAATGCTGTCATTGTAAAGTGCCAAAAGTACCATTCATCGAAGATGCTGATGCGTGCAGTCCAGTGTTGTGGTATGTGGTATATCCATCTACAAGTGATTGTATTAGCAACAATGAACAGAAATACCACTTATGTATGCAATAAAATTGATAAAGGGGGTCATTTCTTTTATGTACTGTTTTTGATTACAGTTTTGCCTTCAAGCTGATGGCAACCCGGTCACCGGCATCAAGGTAGCTATCGCGATGAGAGACTCCCCTTGTGCTGGTGGTACCACTTGCACGTGGCACAACTTCTCTTCTCGGGATTATGTGCAGATATCAAAATATTTCACAACACACCATTGTTTGTTTTTTCCTGTATAGTGAAATTAAGTCAGCTTACAAACACTTGTTCATGATAGCTTAAAAGCTTTAATATGCATTGTATTCAACCCAGCAATACCAGTGTTGTTTACCGGGGCAGGAAAATGCAATATCCGTACCAGACAACTAGAATCAGCAATAACAAAGACTGTTTTCTTCACAAACATTTTTTCAATGAAAAGGGTGTTGAATGTGGAAAAATGAAAAATAAGTGTCATGTTTGCTTTTATGTAATGTAGTCTTATAAACTACACGCAGGAGCATAGCGGGAAATTGTGCACATCAGCTCCAATAGCCATTGTCCTGTGCTGCCACAGAAATCTGTCGCCAGGTGTAGACAACTGCGAAGTTAGGCATTAGAGTGTTTTCTCTCTCCTGACACATTCTGATCATCAATCTCCTCTTTCTGCAGTGTTCTTTGAATCAGTGTTGTTTACTACGAATTAAATTACACTCCAGTACAGTACACTACAGGTTAGCTTTTCTATAATGTGCTAGAAGTTTGCAGTGCCTTGTATCACGTCCTAAATGTTGCCTTCCGACAGGTGGCCATGAGGTCCTGAAAATTAAAGTTACTGCTATCCTTGCATCTATCTAGGCAGCTTGTTCCAAGCTTCTGGATGTGGTGTGCTCATTACCTGAAAACTCTGTGGCTGCCTCAGCTACTCCGTACCATACACCGGAAACCCTGCATAGAAAACCTGGTGAGAATAAACTGGTTATGGGGTCAGGCACTGTTCTGACCAAAGAAAATTAAAGTGTCATGGAAGTTTTTAGGAGTTTCCTTGTTATAACTTGAGATGAAAAAGGCCGACACAGTATGGGTATTTGTCTTGCATCAGCCTGATTGTGTCTGTTTTCATCACACTTATAGTTGTATGCTTATTAAACCAGGAAGTGCAAACCAGCTGTTGACACATAGAGTGAATTCAGCACTTCATGTGCCTTGATTTGATGCTGTTGAGACGTCCCCGCTACGCCACCGACCGCCCTAAGAGAGGGAAGAACGCTCAACCGTTTTTCTCAGTTTCGTCTTGGCTATGTGTCTCAACCACTTTCCACACACAGGGATTCATGCTGGGGCCGGGAAATAGGAGACGCTACGACCTGTCCCTGTTTACTGATGCATTTTATTTATTACTCATTGCAAACATCGTACACTCATGCTGCCCGTGTACAACCACTACACAAAATTAAAACACATGATATAGACACTAGCGACATTCGACACAGGGACACATAAAGAAAGTAACTGCAACAAATAAGGGTACGTCCAATATATAAAGGAACACACGACGACACCACACAATGTCTCAACGCACCGCATCCCTTCCTGCAAAGCCCATCTAAATAAGGTACATGAAGTTCGCCTCACGAATGGTCCATGTTGTCGGGAGCTTCGGAGCTGGACGTTCCGAGTCGGGGCTCAGGGCTTTTTCCTGTGGTCACTTTCCAATTCGTCAAGGTCTTCATCGTCTTCGTCGTCCCTCTCAGTGATTTCCATCTTAGTCTTCTTTCATTACGTCCCGCAATCGCTCGCTTCCTCGTTTCCCATCTCTAACTTTCATTCCTCGTCATACCATCCCTGCCTCAGTCATCACCTCATCGACTCTCATAGCTATCTCTTCACAACAATATCTTTCTTTTCCATTCCGTCTCTCTACCATCTCAATCTCATCGCATCGTCTCCCGATCGCGGCTCCGCGGTCCCTTTTCGTAGGACCTGACTCCGCCCCTCCGTGGCACCTAACCAATTGCCACTATTGATGTGGCATATTTTCCTGTCAGTCGGAGTGTGTCAGTTTCGACAGCCGTCCCAGTAGCCTACGCCAGTTGAAAGCCCTCTCCCAAGCAAAGTAGAGCAAGTAACAATGTAGAAACTCAAACTTTAGAGAGAGAGATGTGCGAGCTGTTCAATGACACGTCAATTACGGGCGACCAGAAGTCCTAGTGTTGCGACAAAGCGCGCCGTCTTTAATTGCCGACGCCGGGAGTTTGGAGTGCTGTGCTGAAATGTTTTCGGCCACCCCTATTGCCCCGGTTTTCGGTGCTCAACGACCCGATGTCCAGATCGAGTTTCAACACCTTCATGCAATCCGGTGTCTCCCGCAAAATTCTCCGCAGCCACCGCTTGTTCCTCCTTCAACGCCGCAAGTGGTCATCCGGGCAGAACGCAGTAATGAGCCCTGGAACAGGGGAGGCTGACAAAATGTCAGGCCGGTCCCGGCACAGGCGCTACAGCAGGCTTGCATGTACAGAACCAAAATGAGGTGCTCTGCTGCCATCCGTGCCATAAATCTGGCGCGTACGGAGCATCGCCACCGTATACTGTCCGTAGACAACAAGGGGCCACCCGGTCCTGGTGTTTGGGCGGTGGGCCTGCGAGAACCGTCGACAGAATCCTTCCAAGAACTCCACTCCGAAATGCGCATTCATTACCCCAAAAGTTTTCTTTTCCTTCTTTTTTTCCAATGCGTGGGTTTAAGAAATTAACGTAAACATCTTGAAAGGCCTGGGGTTCAGTCCGCGTTTGCGGGGACGTCGCACTGTGTTGCAAATAGCCCTGCATAGACTTAAGTCCAAATATCTTGTCAATTTGCATTGATGTATGAATGACATAATGGGTATTTAAGGGACCCTGAAATGGTTTGGTGATTTTGTACAAATACATTGGGCTGGTAGACCAAGGCCCAGGGGTAATTTAGAGACCCATTTGAGCTCTCTGCATAAACTGTGAAATTTATTACTAAAGCTGCAAATTGCTGCAGATCGGTGCCTCGCTGTGGCTCGGCCGAACGCGTTTTCAACCGCTTATGTACAGAGCGACATCCACTGGCCACTTGACTGCTGATATGATTGCCTTTCGTGGGCCGTAGAATGCGTGGAGGTAAAATCGGCTGATAGAGTGGCGGCACCTGTCGGAGCAGCTATGAACCACTCCGCTATCTTTGTCTCTATTGCCAGACGGCGTGCGGGCTGCAAAGCGCACTGTGTGACAGCCTCTGAGACTGCGCGCAACGTGTCGGCGTGTGCTCTCAGAGGTCTAGACTGGTAAAAGCTCGGATCCTCGAGCACACTTATGGGAGCTCTGCAATCGACAGTGATGCCAGCGTGCCTCATGAGTAGAAGAGGCCAGGCAGACATGAGGAGGAGGGTATGATATAATTGTCCCTAGAAGCCTCGGTACACACCGTGTCACTAAATTTGTGGTGCGAATGGTTGGATGATGCTATAGCCGTTCACTTGTTGCATGTCTTCCGATTTTATTTACTGAACCTAGCTGCTGGTTAGCTAGTTGTCAGTTATTAAAGAAAAGCTTTCTGACTCAACTTCTCATTGACCTGGTCCTCACAATGTGCAAATACAGTTAGGTAAACTGGGCTGATTTTCGAAGACAGTGTCATTGATGCTTCACCATGGTTCTTTAGCAGCGTAATCATGTGTCACTTGGCTGATGGTTTGGCCCTGCCTCTGGCTGGGCTGGTTTTTGTAAGTTTATTGATTTGTTCTTGTGCTTTTTCAGAACGGAAATTGGTGTTTGCCTGCTATGAAAGGACTGAGGTTCTGCGCTTCTGCATGAAGACGCTGATAACATGTTTTAAGGTAAATGTACGCTATTGTTGTGAGTCTTTCACTGCCTGCAATGAGAACATTGTAAGCATAAGGTACAAGGTACAGTAGTTTTTGTTTTCTGATATAATTACCTAACTTTAGGTATTGACTAGTGCCTAATAATTTGGGGTATTTATTCATATAGCCTGAGACTTTTCTTGCCAAAATTTTTCTCAGGTTATTGGGAAAAATAAAATTGCCTTTGTTGTGAATGGCACTTTAGTTTAGAGCAAATTGTAGAAACATAATTGGTATCATCGCCATTGGCCATCATTCGACTCCTAAGAGTTGATCTGAATGTTCAACTAAATTATGCAGAGCTTACAGCTTCCCCTTATGCCTGTATTTCTTTGCAGAAATCAAAGCTTTCTGAGAACTTTTTTGGTTATTTCATGGTCAAGGCTTGTACTATTTATGTTTTTTTAGCTGCACGAAAAATTTTATTAGAAGTGACCTTTTGTGAATCATGGCTCTATTCAAACTGTTCAAATTGGCTCCCTCTAGGGAAGAGAAATAATGTTTATTATCGATTTCATTAATTTTTTAATGCTCGAGATATTTCAGCATCACAGGGGTTACGTTAACTTTTTATTTACTTATCATAGGTAGCTGAAGAAATAGAAAACATCAATAAATTTTCATTGAAAGACTACTTATAACTATCGAGCTAACAAAAATTCGACACTGGCAGGCTCTTTTAAAGTGAAACTGACATGGAAAAGGAACATTGCTGTGTCTTCCTTGATATAGCAAACTTACATAGTCTTGCTGGATCATCGCTACATGTTGCTCTACCTTACCTTACAGGAAAAAGTTCTGATGCAGTTCAGCCGAGATGACCTTGCTCTCGGTCACTTGATAGTGATGACTCAGTACGACTGGCCAGAGGAAGAGCCACTCTTCGTCAAGCTGCTTGATGTAATTAAGAAGCAGGGGAACTTTTGCTATGGACTCTTTTTCAACTACCTCATCAGTATCCTTTGCCCCATCTAAGTGAAGACAAAATGTGTTGAAATGTGGCATTTGCTGTGTCTTTCTAGAGGTTTCTTCACTGTGTCATGTTTTTCGTGTGAGCTCCTTGGTGCAATGCAGCTTTGTTGGAGCCACTGTTCTGATTAACTTAGTGCACTAGTTATGGGTTCTTCAAATCCATGTGGAGCATGAAAAACATGAAATTTCTTATGTATTGAACCAACACCACCTAGACTTTCAAGGCCGAAGGGCTCTCCGCATGCCGAATGCTGACGTCGCCAACCGGCGGCGGGAAAAACTGGTTTTTCTGGTGAGTCGCTTTTAGGAAAAGTAGTTAAGCATCTATGGATACGAATTGAAACACGTGCGATAGTAGTCATTTAGAGCCTAGCTACATTTCTCTCAAGAATGAACGACAAAGCTGTATATTCATCATACTAAGGTTATGTCTTAGTGAAGTATCGATTTTCAACAGCGAAACGTTGAAGTCAGAAGGGCTCTGTTTACATCGACGGAGGACAGGTAGTGTGGTGGCACAGCATGCACATTAGTTTGCTACTAAGCAAGGACGAGTCGTCAGATTCAATGCCTGCGACAAAGGACACTCTTGTGAACCGGTGCTGAAGCACATGCAGCACTAACATTCTTGTGAGAAAAATTGTGTTGCTGAATGAATTACAAGATTTTAGCAGCTCATTCTAAACCAGAGAGAAAGCTCTAAACGTTGAGTAAGAAGTAGCTCTTGGCGTTTATTTCCTGTGAATAAAGTTCTTCAGAAAGCAGCATGCCATCAGTTTCCTATCCTCGTTTCTAAGAGGCGAGCTTTGTCACACGACCTGTGATTACATTTTCTCTCTTTCATTTATTAAATGTCGGCCGACTAGTTTTTCGACTGCTTGCAAAAACTACTTGAGGTGAGAAATGTGTGGAAAAAAAAGTATGTGTTTTTTTGCCCTAACGTCAAGTATGAATTAAAATAACAAATACAGTGCTGTGCTTTGTCTACTGTGTCCTTTTTTCTTTTTTCATGGAGATTTGTGGAACCACATATACCTATTTCTGCTTTCTACAGAGCAATAAATATCAGGCTATAAAAGCAAGTGCTCATTTCAGCGCACAAAGAGAAAAAAAAAAAGACATTAAAATACGGGAGGTTTTTAAACCAAAAACATTTTCGCGCAGTTTGCTCAATGCTGAGCAGCCGCCGCCACTTTGTGACATCACGGCGGCAGCCATCTGACCTTTAAAAGTCTAGGTGGTGTTTATTGAACTCATCCTTCGACCACTATGCAAAAAGCCATATCCTTGACTGCTTGCTTTTGAGATTATAAATGTGAATAAATGTGCATTTATTGACTAAGTATGTGAGACAAGTTCTATAAAAGGGACAACGCATCCACAGTAGTTTCCATCTACATGAAAACTATTCATTGTTGTTTCATGATGATGGTTAGTGGAGTTTTGTCAGAAGAATGCCATGTCGTCTCCATGTCACACATTTCTGTAGTTCTGAAATGAAATGGGTGAAATGCTACCTATTGTTCATTGAAAGTTATCTTACAGGGACATGATCTTAAGTATGGTTTGGGAAACATTCTGCCATTTTAATTTTGATGCCTTACATTAATAGGATATGCTTTCTACACTTCATTAGGGACTGTCTTCCAAACTTTTTCTCGATCTGTATTGGCGGGCTATCTGAAGAATAGTAGTTTCCTCAGCAGATTATTTTCAGATGCTGACATGCTTGAGGAATTTATGTACATCACTACTGCTAATGGAGGTGGAGTCACTCTGGACCTACTGCCAACTTCTACCACTCAGGTTGGAAGGTGCGGCAATCAGAAGCTAATGCTATTTTCTCACTGACTGTCTCAGTTAATAATTAACACGGGCGTGATAAAACTGCTAACTTCTTCAGCCACTCTTGTGTTTGCAAAAGTTTGCAGAAATGTGTTCGCATGTGAAGTTCTTTATGGTTACAATATGTGCATTGCCTAAAATTCAATTAATTGACAATAACTGTCATTTTAGAATGTGCTTTGCTTTTTTTTAATTATGATGACAGCTGGGAACAGTGCCTTCCTAAACACTGTTAGTCTAAACATTGTGAGACAAGTGTGATTGAAAGCTCATTTTTTCTGTGTTCTCGCCTGCGCTTAAAGTTGTGTGTTGTTTTGGCATGTTCCGCTGACAGTGTGGATGCTGATTGCAGACAGAGAGCTGTGACGCGAGGAGTGAACAAAGGAGCTAAAGAAGACCTGAAGCTGGCCATGGAAAAGCAGATGGCACGCTGCGATGATGACCTTGAGCACCTTCTGGTTCACTTCGTCCAGCAAGAGAGAGAGATTCTCGAGCAGCAGCTGTAAACTGAGAGCACAGATGGATGTAAACAGCTCCTCTTAATGTTCTCAGCCGACCACTTATGGGCTTCAAGGCATACCATTCTCGGGCCTCCTATCTGGCACACTTCAAAGCAACTATACAATCGATTGCAGTGCAGCCAATGATGATTCCCTTAAACTGTCTGCAGCAGTTTCAGGCAACAACTTGTGCTAGTAGGCACTGAGTTTCTGTCTGCAGTTTCCCTAAATGCCATCTTGTGGTCAGCAGCCTGCAGTTAAAGAAGCAGTGCCGCTGTAAGCGTACAGTGTTGATGCACAGAGAACTTGTATGAGAGGTATTGACATAACAATAACTTTTTTGGCTTGGCAATTTAAAAAAAATTGCAATTTAAAGAAACGATGAGACTGGAAATTAACATTTTGGCTTCTCTGAAATTGAATGCAAAGATTTATTTAAACCCTGTGGGATAACATTAACAGAATCGAAAGGGAATTGTGAAGGTACTGCGAGCATCTTACTGCAGAAGGACTGGCTGTGCTGGACACTGACCAACATTGCCTCGACAAGTACAAAAAAGCTTGGGCATAGTTTTGCTTCCGTTTCTGCAGTGCAAAGTATGAAAAAAATATATATATAATCTTGGCTTGTCTCTTTGCAACCCTAGACTTTACATTACGAGGCCTATATTTCACGGCGCGTTATATCGTAAGAATGTTTTTGTCTTTTGTAATTTCAGAAAATGTGTAGTACAGTAGAATCCCGATAATGCAAACTTTGATCATTCGTACTTTCCGATAATTCAAACAAAATTCAATTTTTAGTTGGTTCTTTGTTCTTTCAATGTATTTAAAAGCCTTTTAATTCAAACTCCATCATATGGTTAATTCATATCTTTTCCAGGTTCATACCAGACCCAGGTGGTCGAAATTTTCGGAGCCCTCCACTACGGCGTCTCTCATAATCATATGGGGCTCTTGGGACGTTAAACCCCACATATCATCGATCAGGTTCATACCAGAAAATATCTGCTGCTTTCCCCCTACTATTTATTAATTCATGTGCCTATATAATCTTAACAGTCTCAAAATGAAAAATAATCTTGAGGCCTTCAAGGAAAAAGGCATTGCTAGTAAACAAATGTTTGAAATGAAGCACACCTAAGGTAAACGGTGATGCTTTTAAACTGGTATAAAGAACTTTGTGCTGAAGGCTCATACCTGTAACAATGAATCAGTTGGCATTAGGTCCGATCAGCAGTAAATTGCCAATAAACGTTTGGACCTAACAACTCTGCCTAATTATAATGCGTAGTGTCACCACACCCAGAGTCATCTATCTGAGAACTGATAATTCAAACAAAATTCATAAGTCCTTTTGAGTTTGAATAATTAAGAGTCGACTGTATTATTTGTGGCATCAGAATTTACAACTGGTTTAAACACTCGATTATGGACAATTCTATCTGCATCTGCTGTGGAAGACGCTCATCTTGGTGCACTGCAAATTGTGTGGCTGTATCAACTTTTATAATATGTTTTTTTTTTTGTAATGCTGAGAGCTGGGCCAGTTTTTACTAGTATTTTGAGACATGTTTGCAGCACTAAAGAAAATATTTCAAGTTTGGTAGTACAGGTCAAGTAAAGCCAGTCGATAACAGTACCTACTCCACTCATTTTGTACTTACGTGTTTGTCTTCCTCAGCACTGTAAGCATCTTTCATAAGCACCTTTTAGTACTTTTGCAGACATTATTTAGGAAGACATCATCATCTGCTATAAGCCAGTTCTCCACAGAAATTTAATATACAGGCGTTCCAATTATTACGTCATGCGATTAAAAAAGACGAATGGCATTACGTGAACAAAGCTAGTGCATATTGTTCCCAGAGTGCTGTTGTAGCCCCTACTAATTTTTTGTTAGTGACAATTAATTAGTTAATTAGTTAAACAAGGTACTCATCTAATTATCAAATGCCAATGAGGCAGATGTGTGCATATTCAAATGATGGTTGTGTGTTGCTTTCTACAACGTACTAATTGCATGCTCATTTTGTCCTGTTAATGAAGAAAACCCGCGAAATATGAAAAGTAACCGCTGAGCGAATAATAAAAACGCGCCCTCAGACAAGTTCACTCTGAGAGAGCCAGTAGCAATGAAGGAAACGTAAAAGGACAAAATATGAGCGATCGCGACAAAACGGCGGAGTATTGAGAGGCGACACCCAGTACATCGTGAACAGCTGAACTAAGATGAATGTGATGTGGTAATACCTACTTCCCGCTTGCAGTATATTTCTCCATGAACCACAGTTTTTCCAGTTTTTCACTCGCGCTCATTTTGAACCAGTGTATTTATTCTACGAACAAAAACTTGGACCATCTCTCCGAGGGGGACCCTGATAGGATGCGAAGCAACAACGTTGCGCACGGGTGGTGTCACGGGTTGAACGGCGCTAACGCGGGAGCTGCGGTGAGCGCTGGAAGACTCGTTTGAAGCGATGGCTGGCGCAGTTTTTGTAGATGACACATACAGACATGTTTCAACGCGTCCGTTAGGCTCGCGTCAGGTTTATTGCGCGTGAACCGCCGAGTCTGTGGTGTAGCAATCGGCGGTCGCGGCACGTGTTGCGTGTGAGCAAACGAGGCGGCAGCTGCAAGCGCGCGGCAGCTGCAAGCGCGCGGCAGCTGCAAGCGCGCGGCAGGCGAGGGAGAGAGTAACGTCAGCGCGCACTGCGAGGGAAGCGTGACTGTAACGTCAACGTGCAGCAGTAGGCGTGACCTACTTGGCACCGCGCCAACAACTGCGGCGTGTTGTACGGAGGGACAGCGTTACACATGCTATAGTCAAAGAGCTGCTTTGCATTTAAAAAAAATACGGATCGCGCTATCTGCTGCTTCTCGTCCTAAAAAAAAAAAACCACCGCTTTGATCTTATACAGCCAGACTGTAATCAGAATAGTGGTTCGTGAGAAGGACGGTGAAGTGATAGCGACGTACACTTAATGCTGCGAAACTGCGATGTATTTTGTTGGCACCCGACCTGTACGCCTTGCCAAGTGTGGAAAACGCCGTCTCTGGCAACAGAAAAAAAAAAAGCAAAGTGGTTGCTTTCCATTAATTATTTGAGGGCGCTGCTTCTTTTTTTTTTTTGCGAGTGTGACGGCTGTCACGTGTTATATTTCACATTTTGCGGGCTTTCTTCATTCAAAGAAAAAAATGAGCATGCAATTCATACCTTGTTGGAAGTAGCAAAGACATGTAATTTTAACATGTGCACATCTGTCTCATTGACATTTTGATAATTAACCGAGTACTTTTTGAGTTACAAATATAATAAGACTAATCAATTAATAGTCATTACCGATAAAAATTTGCAGCGGCGACTTCAGTATACTGGGAACGGTATACATTAGGTATGCGTCATGTAACATCGTTCCTCTTTTAATCGCGCTGTGTGATAATTAGGATGCCCTGTATATTATGATAATAAGATGACCAGCCAGCAGAGGCAGTATAATACATCATGGGCTCTTCTAAAAAAAACATGCTACATGCTATAACCTGGAATTTTCCCATGACAATGACACAAAATCATTGCATAAATATTTAAAAAATTGCATCTATCATGTAGATAGGATGGTCGTGCAAATATTGCGTGCATACTGTCTTATTTATCTTAATTTAGTTTTGAGGCAACGTGCGGAAAGAGCAGACTCGCTAAGCGATTGTAGGAATTAGAAGCAGTATCTGAAAAAAAACATTAATATCTTTAAATCAACAGAAAAAAATGTGCGCAGTATTTACGACATTAACCCAATAAATGGTCACTTGCCACTATAATTGTGGCTGCACCTCACTGTACTGCAACCAAATAGGTGTCCCACACTGTGAGCTGGCATCTTGATGCCTTATGAAGCCTCGATGTGCTGCTGGAAAAACGAAAAAGTGGTACAGTGTTGCCCTTTCGTCTGTACAGCTAATCCAGTGCATTGGTGCAGCCCTACTGTGTTCATGTATCACGAATGAAACAGGCTCGCAGTCCCACTGGCAGGAGTATCATACTCTAACGAGGTCCATGTGGCACAGTCAGTTGGGTATGCTATACTGCCTATAACGAACCTTCATATAACGTAATTACTTGATATTACGAAGTGACAAGACCTAATGCCACTTTGCGTTGCTACACTTTTAGTTAGCGTCACATATGTGGGGCCGCCCTGTATACGGAGAGTGCTTTATTTAACGTGGTATCCAGGTCGTTTGCTCTTTGTTGTCGACATGTGCGCCCCCGACAACGTTCAACGCTGCCCCTTTCCGTTTTTTTTTCTTTTCCATTTTTCTTATGCGGACAACCGTGTCGTCATTACCGAGATGTCGGATTATGCGCTGATGGAAACTCTCCGAGAGAGAGAAAAAAGCATTTTATTTAAAAAATATATTGCCACCAGCACGTAGTGGGTCGACAGCAAGAGCGGCTCTCAATCTGGAGGAAAAAGAAGATCGCGTGTTTCTTCTCTGCTCGAGAGCCAGCCACGACTGACGCATCGTCCTAGAGATTGCTACCCGGTGGTTTAATAAATCCCCCAGTACTTGTGACTCATCGTGACAAACTGGTGGAGGTGCTGGGTAGTCTCACGGATGCTGCAGACCTCCCCAGGAAGCCGTCATACGAGTCCAGTGCCAATCAATACTCCCGTGCATCGGACCAACCGCCGAATCAGGGGATTGCCTCCGGAAATCGACGATACTGCTCCAACCTCGTCGACAAACATGACCAGCGCTTTGGTGCAAACCTCGTCAACAGGCACGGGAAGCACGACGTCGAACCGCTATACGTTGGAAAGCCCACGGGCACCGACGACGTTCCATGGCACGGAGCACGAGGACGTTGAGGACTGGTTGGCGGACTTCGAGCGTGTAGCCACCTTGAATCAGTGGGACGACGCAGCGAAACTGGGTCGTGTCTATTTCTATCTCGAAGACGGGGCACGTACGTGGTATCAAAACCGAGAGGAGCAGCTGATGACGTGGCCCGAATTCTCTCGTAGACTTTTGCAGACCTATACCAGTGCTGATCGCCAAGAACGAGCTGAACGAGCTATTCTGGCCCGCGTCCAGTTGCCAAACGAAACTGTGACCACGTACGTCGAAGACATGACGTGCCTCTTCCGACGGGCCGATTCAAGAATGACGGAGGACAAGAAGTTGCGTCACTTGATGCGCGGTGTCAAGGACCAGCTTTTTGCCGGCCTCGTGCGCAGCCCTCCGAAGACGGTCGCGGAGTTCTTGTCCGAGGCCGTGACAATGGAAAAAATGCTGCAGCAGCGATCCAACCAATACGACAGGCAAGTCAGTGGCATGTCTACTGCCGACATTTTCACCGCCACTAGAACCAGCAACGACCGTCTACGTGAACTCATCCGTGATATAGTACGTGAAGAGTTGCAAAAGGCTGGTGTAACACCTCATCCTACGGTTAGCTCAATTGCAACTGTGATCAAGGATGAGCTGCACCAGGCCCTCCGGAACACCTTGCCTCCTGATACAGCTGCACCAGCTCCTGCTGAATACCGCCGTGAGACAACCTACGCGGAAGCCTTGAAACGCCCTGCTGCATCGCCGCCATTACTCGTCCATCCTGTTCCTGCTGTTGCACTCCAGTCAGCACAGCACATACCGTACTACGAAGGCACGTACACGCCACCGCCTTTGCCCTTTGTCCCTGGCGCTCCTGTCGCCCATCGTTCGGTGCCACCAGTTCAGTACATCGACGATCGGCGCACGTCTCCTCGGAAGTCTGATGTTTGGCGCACACCTGATCGCCGGCCTCTGTGCTTTCACTGTGGAGAAGCTGATCACTTGTACCGCCAGTGCCCATATCGCCGTCTTGGGCTTCGCGGCTTCTCTGCGTACTCACCGCCACCCCGTTACGGCCAGAGACCGCGCGAAATCGAAAACTACCTCGCCCAGCAGCATGCACCACCGTCTGCCGGGCGCCAGTCGCGCTCGCCATCACCGAGGCGATTTTCATCAACGCCCCAGCGGTATTCTACCACACGATCTCCAGCCCCCGCCGGGAAAACTAGCCCAAGCGACCTCTGGGGGCGGGGTCGCTGAACGTCGAAGCGCTGAAGACCTCCTATTAACGCAGAACCGTACAGAAACCGGTCCGACATCACATACTGCTGCAAAAGATGGCCGACTTTCACTCGACATAGCAGTGACAATTGATGGTTGTGCAGTTAATGCGTTAGTGGACACCGGCGCCGACTATTCCATACTGAGCGGGAAACTGACAACGCAGCTGAAGAAAGTCATCACGCCGTGGCACAACTCGCAGATTCGGACAGCTGGTGGCCACGTCGTTACTCCACTGGGTGCCTGCACAACTAGAGTACAGATCCAAGGGTATACATTCGTAGCAAGCTGCCTCGTTCTACGCGAATGTTCCCGTGACGTCATCCTGGGAGTTGACTTTCTACAGGAAAATGGAGCTATCATTGATCTGCAAGAGCGCCGCGTCACGTTCTCAGCCCAGCGAGCAATCAACGTGCAGGATGACGGAAAGCGTGTCGACGTACTCCGTATTTCTGAACAGAGCGTGACGCTTCCTCCACGAGCAAGTGTTCTAGTCGACGTAACATGCTGTGGTTTGGGCGA